GACGAAACAACCAACGCTATTTCTTGCGCATCCTTTGTTGCGTTGTTGCCGGCGTGCTGCTTGTCCCTTCGGTCGATTGTGCAGTCAGCAATGGAGTTTTTTTTTTTTTTTTTTTTTCTTTTTGCAAGCTCAACTCAGCTCCGTCAGCCGTCAGGTACCGGTGAAGTTTGCCGGAGCTTCCTTGGCTTTTTGACGCAGGAGAAGGGTGTGTGAGAGGTGTGATCGGCATCGGGATCGTCGCCGAAGGTCCGTATCCAGGAACGGCTGTCCTGCTCGTGTTCCTGAATTAGCCTCTTTTTCCCTCTTGTCACAGCTTGTAACAACCGGCGTTAGCTTTTGGATGGCGATTCTTGGGGTTTCCAAGATTCTACTTTTCGCCCGATGTTGGCATCGCTTTATCGTCTTTTGCGTCTCCCATCCCATTTAGAGTTCGATTCTTTTGCTGGCTAGCTAGTCTAGGCGATTTTTGGTTTTTCTTTCTTTCTTAGGTTTGGGACCGGCCCATGGCGCAACCGGATAGTGTTTCTCCTCATTTGAATGCGTTGGCATAAGCTAATTCTCAATTAGCAAAGGACAGTTGGCGATCATTGTTCTGGGCCTCTTTCTTCTCTTCCCAGAAATCCCGTCATGTTGTCGTCGGCCGCGGCGGGTGGCAGTCGGTTATTTCTCGTCTCTCGTCTCTCGTCTCCTCGTTCTGGCATCGCTACCCGAGGGAGTTTTCCATTCTCAACGTAACACCAACGACTCGCTCGAGAAACAAATGAAGATCTCTCGCCCTTCTCGAACAAAGCGCATCTCGTTAGTCCCCATTCCCATCAGAAATTCTCGGGACGCCGATCATGCCTTGTATGAGGGGTGCCTATTCCGAAAGAGGGATGGGAAGAAAATAAGCGCACAAGGGGGGGGGGGGGTCGTACGTTGGGATTCGGGAGTTGTGACTTGGAGGTTGGAAAAGCGAGTTTTGGGAATTGGGACATATCGTACGCCCTATGGCCCTGTGATGCGATATCTTTGCCTTGGAGGCGCAACAGGTCCAAGAGCAGAAGAAGCATCGCTTGTGTCTCTCTCATATGCGCGGCGAGCACCCGTTGGTGCAGGTAGGCTAGCTGAAGGCTGACAGTTGAATCCCGAGATCAGGCATCCAGATCCTGTTAACCGTTGGCCATAACGGCACTGTGCCAACAGCACGAAGCGGGATGGGTATGTATCCCAACGGCCGGCCCGGGTCTGGGTAACTGGATGTGATGATCCGAAATCATAAGCGCGAAATCGAAAATGTGAGATTCGACGACGACATGGAACACCAAACATGCCTGTGATTCCGTGTATCACAGGGCTTCGCAGCAGTCAGCACGGCCCGAGTGCCGAACTGATATCTTCACCTATTCGTGAGGCGTATCGTATGGGCCATTGACGCGTCCCTAACTTGACTTGAGTCTTTTTTAATTCCGCTTTCCGTCTTCCGTCTTCCGCGAAAGGAAGATCCGGCACGGTACCACTCTGGGATGTCGTACGCTTTCGAGCCGCCAACCTCTTTTTGTCGGTAGCCCGCCATTGGGCTCCACCGAGATGCAAGTTGTATCACAAACATACTGTAAAAATCGGAGCTTTTATCCAGGGCTGAGTACGATGAAGAAAGGATAAAAAGTACTCTGACAAGCAGCAGTATGGAGTAGGAAGGTGACCGTGGATGTGTGGTGGTTTGCAGAATGAATGTGGTGGTTTGCAGAATGAATGTGGTGGTTTGCAGAGTGAATGTGGTGGTTTGCAGAATGAATGTGGTGGTTTGCAGAGTGCAGAGTGAATGTGGTGGTTTGCAGAGTGAATGTGGTGGTTTGCAGAATGAAGCATCTGGAGAGGATTGGGGGGGGAGGGGGCAGAAATCTCGAGTGAAGGCATTACTGTGACAGGTCTTCTCAGGTTTCTTTTCCTGAGGCCATCAAAATTTGAGATCTCTCATATTGGGACTTGGAAGTCCAATTGGAAATCACGAATGCCTTTCTTTTTCTGAACCCCGGCATGTGAACTTTCCACGGGCCAGAAAAGGTAAAAGGTCAGTTGGTGTTGGTTCCTGGGTTTTGTAACTTGTCTCACTTCAGTTGTCAACTTGTCAACCTGTCGCCGAGTTCTCCGCTGCCTGGGTCCAGCGGACGGAGCTTTCCCCGGCCAATGACAGGGAGTTTTTAAACAGCATGGGCCTTGCCCGGGGAGCAAGGTGAGAAATTGCCTGTGAGTGTAGCGAGTCCCGAAGACGTAAATGACGAGGCGGGAGTATACCCAGATGATGAGCCTCTTTGACATTGGGCCTTCCACTCTTCCTTGTGATGCCTGTGATGACGATAGCAGATAGGCACAAAAAGGGGAAAAAGGTCATGAAAGCTATTGACACCTCTCCAGGGGCCTTCCACTTGTTGAGCCCCTGGCGGTTAGCCCAAGCTGTTGGTATTCCGACGTCTTTCACACCGAGGAGATCGAGAAGCGACAGAAACGGACAAGTGGTGCGTCGGAAGAGGCTGGATTTGGCGAAAGTGACCGATGAATGCAAGCACACCTTGAGTAAATGCAGGATGCAATGGAAGAGCAGTGCAGACCGAGTGGATTGAGTCTGCAGTGCAGTGCAGTGGTGCAGAGCAAAGTGTCCTTCGCTTCAATAACCGCAGATGGAATTGGGAGGACGGGGTGTCGAATTGTCGACAAGGCGGCTGGCAAAGGGCCGGATGGTCTGTGCGGGTCCGGCCCGACCTCTTCTCAAAAGTCTCTCTTATTAAGATTCTTGGGAAGACTGGGTGCACGGTGTTAGTGAGAGACTGTTGAAGAGGATCGTGACTTCTGAAGTGTAGGTAATTGTTTGGTCCTCTCCACCTTCTTCCTCCAGCGACCGGACGCAAAGGAAAGAGCTGGAGCAAGTGGATGGTTCAAGGGGTACCTGGCATGCCTGGGTCTTGCCGAGTTGAACAGCCCCAAAGTTCACAAGGACACCGCGGACTCGCGGTCTGGATTTGCGCTGGAATTTTGATTCGGCTCCCGAGGTACTGGAGGGATCCCAAAGGACTTGGTTGGGAAGTTCCTGTCTGTTTCTTTTTGTCTTCAGCGGACAAGTTATTATCAACCATCACAGTCTCTCACATGGGAATTGTAGTGCATATTCGGAGTGACATGATGTTGTCCACCACCTCTTCAGCCTTGGATGCAGTGTGCCGTTGTCAGGTGACAGGCCGTCAAAGCGTTGTTGAACATCTGAGAATCCTCCCTGGCATCCGTCCCTCTCGACGTTGCGTGTTGACCTTCAACACGTTCGGCTCGCTCCCGTACGACGTTTCCCTTTGATTTGGCTCCCGACTCGGTGGTCCGCCTAGTCAACGAGGTTACAAGGGCCCGGGGTCCGGGGCACCGGTTTATGAGCCCTGAGAATCCAGTGATTCCAGTCGGGACCGGAAGGGGGTCCATCTTCGAGTCCATCAAGGAATCCATCAGGGAGGAGGCCATCGGGAGTCAAAGAGGCCATGATCCCATTTGCAGTTCCATGGGCATCGAGTCTCTGCCAAGGCTATATTTACGGCACGATAGCTGGGGAATTGGGATGGACTTGAGGAAAGGCTGGGGCCGATCCCTTTTGTAACCAGATCTACTATGATAAAGGACTTCGCACTGTTGGAGGTGTTGCCTGGCGTCGTCTGTCCGAGTCCTCAGTCCTTCTTTCCTGTTTGAGAGGCGGACACAACGGCAGGGCCCAACAGCTCATCTCCCGACATCCGGGTCGAGACCGTCACAAGCTCTTGCCTAGCTGCCCACCGACCCCTCACGGCGGTATCGCCCCTGGTCTTGGTATGGGGTTGAAGGGGGAAGGGCCGGAGGGGCCTGGAGGGGTTTTATGAACTTGAGCCAAAAAGCTACAGTATTCATCACCTGTTTTAATTTGTTCCTACCACGGTAACCAATGTAAGGGTACCAATGTCTTTGGGCCGCGAGAGGACGGTCCCGTCGGTATAAGATGCCGTCTTTAATTACATGGTCAACAAAAGGCGAGGATGACGACGACGACGACGACGCTGGGAACGCAATGAGCTGTTCCGGATCCATAGTCCAGCTCCCCGTTCCTGGAAAAAAGAGAGAGAAAACCATTTCGTTACTAGAACGGTCTCCATCTCCCGGGTCCCAAGTAACGCATCCCGTCGGGTCACATCGTCGACATATCGTCCAGTCGCGAGGGCTCATCGACCCCGAACAACCCCGTCCGGATCCCCAGTGGAGAGCTGTGGTTGGCTGAGCCGAGGAGAGGTACAAAACCCTGCCGGTGCTGGTTGGAGCTTCAAATGCAGAGTGGCCTGCACAGCACACCCGACCCTGAACCCCCCCTGCCCTGGCGGACCCCCCGGTACCTCTACACCACCCCATCAACCTTCTCCTTTACCGTCACCCACCACACTGTTTTAGTACACTAGGCACTAGAATTAGTGTACCTTTTTTAGGGTCCACGTCCTCGGCGACACTGGATCTCGAGTTCGGCGCTGCCAATCATTCGTCTTTTTCTCTTTTTCGCGGGCCAGACATTGACACATCCCTTCACTTCTTCCTCCTGCTCCCCCTTCGTACCTACATATGTAGATCGGTGCAACTGCCTCGACATCTCGACTTGTTCTCTTTTGGTCTCTCTTTCTTCCTCTCAACTTTTTCCCATTCAACACCGTTGACCATTGCACCACCCCGATCTTGGTCCCTCTGCCGAGTCACTTTTATCTCAAAGTACACGAGTCGAGCTTTGACTTCAACAACCCCACCATCCCACCTTTGTTGCCGGCATACTTTTAGGTAGCTTAGCTCCAACCTTGCCTTCTTTGCGTCTCTACTCTCGATAGGAGCTCTTTTCACTCACACGACTTCTCGAATAATAGCCCACCTCGAGTGTATTCAACGTCTTCCTCGGATTGTCATACAATCTCTCGACAACGAAAATAACCCCTCCGTTGTACCTTCAACAACCCCAGATCACAACCGCCACAATGTCGACAACACAACAGCCACACTGGTCCCTCCAGAAGTCGTTTGCTGAGCGGGTAGAGAGCTCGTCGCATCCCCTCACCAGCTACCTCTTCCGCCTGATGGAGGTCAAGCAGTCCAACCTCTGCCTCAGCGCCGATGTCGAGCATGCGCGAGAGCTCCTCGCCCTTGCCGACAAGATTGGCCCCTCGATTGTCGTCCTCAAGACCCACTATGACCTGATCACAGGGTGGGACTACCACCCGCATACCGGCACCGGCGCCAAGCTGGCCGCCCTCGCCCGCAAGCACGGCTTCCTCATCTTCGAGGACCGCAAGTTCGTCGACATTGGCAGCACCGTTCAGAAGCAGTACACGGCCGGCACCGCCCGCATCGTCGAATGGGCCCACATCACCAACGCCGACATCCACGCCGGAGAGGCCATGGTGAGCGCCATGGCCCAGGCCGCCCAGAAGTGGAGGGAGCGCATTCCCTACGAGGTCAAGACGTCGGTTTCGGTCGGCACCCCGGTCGCGGACCAGTTTGCCGACGAGGAGGCTGAGGACCAGGTTGATGAGCTTCGCAAGATTGTACCCCGCGAGAATAGCACCAGCAAGGAAAAGGACACGGATGGGAGGAAGGGTAGCATCGTCTCCATCACGACCGTCACGCAAACATATGAGCCGGCCGACTCGCCACGTCTGGCCAAGACCATCTCGGAGGGCGATGAAGCCGTGTTTCCCGGCATTGAGGAGGCGCCTCTAGACCGTGGACTGTTGATCCTGGCGCAAATGTCATCCAAGGGCTGCCTTATGGACGGCAAGTACACATGGGAGTGTGTCAAGGCGGCGCGCAAGAACAAGGACTTTGTCATGGGCTATGTCGCGCAACAAAACCTCAACGGAATTACCAAGGAGGATTTGGCCCCAGGCTATGAAGATGGGGAGACCTCAACGGAGGAAGAGGCGCAAGCAGACAACTTCATTCACATGACACCCGGCTGCAAGTTGCCACCACCGGGAGAGGAGGCGCCTCAGGGTGACGGACTTGGTCAGCAGTACAACACGCCGGATAACCTTGTCAACATCAAGGGCACCGATATCGCGATTGTTGGACGTGGCATCATCACCGCGTCGGATCCTCCTGCCGAGGCTGAGCGCTACAGGAGGAAAGCCTGGAAGGCGTACCAGGATCGTCGGGAGCGTCTGGCCTAATTCAGGAGAAGGGAGAGAGGGAGCCCGGAAAGGGAAGTTTGTTCTTATATGACTGGGATTGGGTCTACATAACTCTTGGTGGAGAACGCATTGTAAAAGGTGGACGAACGGGGATGGATGGCACAAGGGTGGAAAAACACCTGACGCCAAAGGCATCATCATCATGTAGTCACATTGGTTTTAATCCGGCCGGAACTTTTATCAGGTCTCAGGCCATGGACATATTTGTGGAAAAGAAACATACCCATAGTCATTTGTAAAAACGGGAAAGGAGGGGGGTTGTTTTACTTAGGGCATCGATGGGTTTTCTAAGGAATTTGGGCGGGCTTTGAACGGCGTTTTGGCGACAATAGATGCTTGGCATTTTTGGCCTGCTTTTGCTGTGTATACCATACTGTTATTCTCTCTACATCGGCTACGTGTGTCTTTGTTGTTTTTGACTTGCTTGTCTTCTGCTGTTTACTTGGGATTAAGGCACCAACAAATGATGGATGATGGGATCGTGCCACACCAAAAGACAGGTTAGGATCACGGAGTTAACGGGCTTTTCCCCGGACTTGGTTCCAACCAACCAAGCAGCTCTCGACGTCTTCCGCTTTTGGCGACGGTGGGACGTCGGTGCTCTGTCAATTGAGCTGAACTCGGCAAGGCTTATATTCAACTGATAAGTAGCCCCATCCATCGTCAGGTATGTCGTCAACCCAGTCTTGAAGCCACTGCATACATAACGCGGACGATCGTACCTTCCTCCGTAAATTCCCCCAAGGTTCCTTCCCGTCTTACATCAAGAGGACCCTCGATTGGCTCCCCACTTTGCTCCTTCCTTCTTCGCTTGATTCCCGCTGCTTACAAATGACGAGGACTGGAGTGTCTGCCTGCCGTGGACCGCTGACAAGAACTCCCACTCAACGTCGAGGAATCTGAACAGTTTAAGCTCCTTCATACATCACAATCAATTGATGCTACGCTGTGGTAGTGTAAGTCTAAGCACTCCCGTCGTTAGTAATGAAGGTAATTTAAATCAATTGCCTCCAGATAACATGTGGTGAGCTACTTGTGCTAATATCATGAATTGTCCAGTGAAACGAGAAATTAAGTCATAAAAAGGGAACATAATTGAAAATTGCGATGACTGCTTTGAGCTTTGAGGGGGGCTTCGATTTCGGTACCGAAGTCAACCACAATGAATACCCTTCCAATTCGAATCATCACCCCCAGACCCGTGCTGTGTCTGGCAAGCCTCCACCAAGGAAAAGGAGGAGGATAGTCATTTCTTGCACCGAGTGTCATCGGAGGAAACAAAAGGTGAGCTCAGGTCTTCTTGGTCACCAAGAATTCTACTGACAGAATTGAATATCTAGTGTGACCGTAAACTTCCCTGCACAAATTGCATTTCCCGCCAGAGACAAGACGATTGCCAGTATGACTCTGGAGCACCCACCGCGAAAGAACAACAGCGGCACCAGCAGCCAAAGCGAGCACAACGGACCAGCTCCAATGGAATAAGTCTAACATCTCCCGAACCTGGTGCCGATGGGAGTATGGATAACATCGCCGAGGAGCAGTGGTCAGGTAAATCCTCTACCAATGATAACGATCACCTTAACCTCCCCTCCAATGTCTCCAACGTCGCCAACCTCGGTTACTCAACCACCGGCGCCTCAACTTCTACCATCGGCTTTTTACACAAGATCGAAAACCACTCCAATTCATCCTCATCACCTCACTCGTACCCTCCACTCCCACCATGCAACGGCGGTGACCGAGCATCAACATCGGCAAACGACGTCGTCAACCGCTACAAGTCGCTTATCCGCCTGCTGCCGCAAAGACCTTACGTCGAGAAGCTGGTGGATAGTTATTTCCACAACTTCAACTGGCAGTACTACATGCTGGATAGAGACATCTTCGATAAGCAGGTGGAGGAGTGGTATAAGATTCCGTTTGATGTGTTTAATAATGGGGGACCGGGGGCAATACTGCCGGATCTGAGGGTGTTTCCGGCGTTGTTGTTTCAGGTGGTTAGTATCGGGATGCTGGTTTTGCCTGAGAAGGCTGGTAAGGGGGGTCGAGGGGATTTGAAAACTGGTCATGGAAATGGGATGGGTAATGGAAAGGAAGACAAAAGAGCAGGGACTGAGGGGCAAAAGGGTCAGGGAGACAGCGCAGGTGTAGACTTTGAGGCTCTCAAGTATGCTGGAAGCATGACTTTCGAAGATCTAGCAACGGAGTACAGCGAGTCCGGGGTGGCTATTGTGTCACTGTTGGGAAAGAGACAGATGACACTAACGACAGTTCTGGCTGGGTTCGTGAGGGCTTCATTTCTGAAGTTTATTGGAATGGTTCCTGAAGCTGTGAGTCCACTTATCACTCACTTCACAGTAGCCAGCATTTAACAAAGCAACAGTGGCACGCAATAGGCACCGCCATCCGTGACGCCCAAGAACTCGGCCTTCATCGTTCCTCCTTTGAACCTCGACCTCCCCCCGTCCGCCTCCGCCGAGGCTATCCTTCAAAACCAATGGGAAATACAACGCCGTCGCAAAGTCTGGCTCAACCTCGTAACCTGGGACATTCACTGCGGCGCCACGCTCGGCCGGCCCTCCACCATTGACCTAACCAGCAACCCTCCTATCCTGCCCATAGACGTCGCCCTTCCCATCACCTTCACGAACTTCCGCTCTCCAACGCCTTTCATCCCTCGCTCTGAAGATGACCCTCCAACACCCCTAACCCGCATCCTCTTCTCCTACAAAATAACACTACAACTAGTCTCCATCCTCTCCCTAGAAAAAGAAGGTGCCTCTCCAGCGTCCTTCTCCAAAGTTGACACTCTCCACCAATCCCTCCTCGACTTGGAGAATTCCATTCCTCCTTACTTCCGTCTCCAGGACCCGAACACGCGCTTCGATTCCCTCCAGCAATGCTACTGGCTCCCCTGGGCCCGCGCCCTCCTGCCACAGTTAACAGCCTTTAACTTTATGGCTTTACACCGCCCCTACATATTTACCCGCCCTTTATCTCGGCAGCTGGCAGTGGAAAAGGGGTGTTTGGCGATGTTGAGAGCGCAGAGAAGACATTGGGAGATGTTAAGCAGGGAGATGAGGATGAAGACTTTTACGTTGTTTTTTGGGACTTTTGATGCGGTGGTTTTGATGGGGGCTGTTTATATTCTTTTTTTCTCCTATTCAAAGGGAGAAGGGGGATGAGAGGATGACGGAAATGGTGGAAGAGGTTGTGCAACAGTTCAAGTGGGCTGAGGAAAGGTTCGAGGAGATGAGGGAACGGAATCCATTGGCGAGACAGGCGAGGGGTGTTGTGAGGGGTGTGGGGGAACGGTTGGGACGGGCGCTGGGGGAGGTGGGTGGTGAGTTAAGTGGGAATGGGAAAGGGGATGGTTTGATATCGGAGGGAAGAGAAGGGCTTGTTAAGACTTCTGTTGTTGCTGTCACTGGGAGAGGAAAGAGACCAGTGAGGCAGGAACTTATCAAACCGGTTATTTCTACTGGAAATGGGCTCTCGCCCGTTTTTTCAACATCAGCTTCGGTACACCAACCAGGAACAGGGACTGTTTCCCGAGGCATGAGCAGCTTAACAACACCAGGCTTCCCAACCCCCGAATCTACCGCACCTTCATCTCTCGCACAGGGACAATTCAGTTCAGCAACATCCGATCTCAACACCAACACCAACACCACCATCACCAACACCTTCGATACCTCTCCTTTCGCATTTGACAACACCTCATCCATTCCCATTGACCTTTGTCTCGATACAGCGGCCGACGTACACTGGGCCGCCGCTTCCATCACGCCCTCATCCATATCTCTCCCGTCTCTTCCGGAGGACTTCAACTGGACTAACATCTCGCCAATCTACGCGACGGGAGACCTGGTTTATAATGATCTGACAGGTTTCATGTACGATGGTTTTGATTCTGTCTTGTATTCAAGTAACGCTTATCTGGTACAAGGTGGCGGTGGTGGTGGTTATAGAGATGGAGTGGGATTAGATGCACGGGCACAACTGGCGACAGAGACTCAGACTCAGACTCACATCGTCACAGGGGCCGGCACAGGCATTCAAAGTGCGGGAAATGCAGAATGTCACGGAGGGATGGGTGAGTTGATGGGGCATGATCATGAAGGCAACAAAGGTAACGAGAGTCAAAGTGAGGCGCTATGGATGTTTGATGCAAGGGGCGTCAGGGAGGGGACTTGTGTTTGGGGGTTGTTAAATCGGTATTGAGGGACCGCTTCGCTTGTTCATAGAGTGAGGAACTCGGACATGTATGTCATAATCACCATCAAGACTGAAGAGCGTAAGACTCAGCACCATTTTTTTTTTCTCTATCTTGATCAAATCAACTAGGCTATCTGGATGTAAAGCCAACTCTCTGTATTAGAAATGAAGAGTCTGAAGAGGTGTGCTGTGTACTAAATAGTATAGCCACTTGAGTCACTTGAGCCCTTTGAAGTTTAAACTGTGAATGACGTGACGTATTGTGCCAATCGCAAAGAGCAAAGCCCAATCCATGTTCCCATTCTCGATCGCAATCAAACCCATTCCGTTCTTCGATATCCCATTTCCATCTCAATTTCCGTTCTGATGATTCTGATCGCAATTCTCATACTTCCCATTCTTTTTCCCATTCTTTTCCATTCTCGTGAGCCAGTGAGCCCGTGCTCCGTGGATACCTTGTAGGTATGCTCCCATACGTCTGTCTCTCTTCAAGTCCCAGGTGATCAAATCCCGCGAACTCAAACTCCCGTTCTCCCCCGTATGGTCAAACCCAGACCTAGTTCTAGCCATTACCGAACCCCGTCGATGCAGCCTTTGTAGGTATCCCGAAATGAAATATCAACCCAGTCAGTCTCTCAGTCTCTCACTTCAAAGACAGTCCGAATGATGATTGTTCCCAAGGACACCAAGCCCAGTGTTGGTGTGTAAGACGCCCGCAGACGGCAGACACCATAAGGTTACTGCCTATGTAATCTCCCTCCCTGTATGTCGTATGATGATGATACCACACCTTCCCTTCTCGCCTGTGTGTATCGTATCGCATGCGCTCCTTTATGTCCGTAGTGTTGCTGCTTGCTCGCTGCTTGCTTCTTGCTTGCTCCTCATGAAAGTTGAAGTTGAAGTCAAAGATGCTATTAGCGATAACTATGATGATGCGAATCTTTCTTCTTCTTCTTCTTCTTCTCCCCCACCAGCAAGTAGCAATTTCCTTCTTTCGTGCCGCTTCGTATTTTGTTGCTGCTTTTTTTTTTTTTTTTGTGCTGATGTTTTCTGTTTTCCCATTCCCTCGCTGTGTTTGCCGAATATGAAAGTCGAATTTAGGAAAATGATGACGATTTCCCGAAAGAGAGAAATGATCATGTAAGCCGAAGAGAAAGAAACTAAAAGCCAATAGAAACCCGAAACTGGTAAGAAAAACCCAACCAACTCTTAATACCAGATACCATTGACCATTACCCCCAGAGGATGTTTAAGGAAAAGGGTATCAAGGGTATTATGTTGTATCTGTCGTGTCGTAATCGAATAACCGAAATGTACCTGGGCTTTGAGTGCCGTGTGTGCTGGGAATGCTGTGATCGTTGAGCGATCAAATCCCAAGATTTAAAAACTGAGCGAGTAAGAATGCTGTAGTGCGCTGTCGTAGAGCAAAAGAAGAAGGAAAGTATGACTGATGTACAGACCAAGTGGAGAAGTGATATCTCGTCGAGCAAAGTCGAAGTGTCGATGCCAGAAAGATCAACCAGTGCCGACACTTTCCCCGAGCGCGAATGTCAGATCAGGCAAAAAAGCCTAAACCATAACCAGCACATCTGACCTCCTCACCAACTTAGTCCCAATATTCATCCCCCTAGAATCATCCCTCATTGTCACCCCGGGGGTAACCACAAGTGAAATCCTCATCTGCCTCTGCTGCAACACCTGCCCACCCGTCTCGCTATTAAGCGCCTGATGGCTCGCCTCCACAAACTTACTGCATGTCTCGCTCCAGAGATAAACATACGTCATCCTGCTCTCCCACCCCATCTGGGCAATCGCCCACGCCCTTTCCGCAATACTAAAAAGATCAAACAGCGCCTCATCCCTCACCTCCGACTTTGGCCCGGGTGGCAGAAAGGGCCCCACCATCTTTTTGAATTTCTGGTAATGGTCGTTGACCTTGTAATTCTTGAACTCGGCCCACTTGGGGTGTTGGACCATTTTCTGTACCAGTTCCGCCTGGCGGTTGACCATGGCTTGGCGCTCGTGGGTCTTGGAGTGGTTCGTTGTGCCCGAAGGGTCCTTGAGGCGCGCGGAAAGGGAAGCCATCTCTTTGTCAACGGAGGGCTCGTAGCCGGTCCAGCCGTCGGACTGCAGCATCGTGGCGGTTATGTATTGCACGAGCAGGCGCTCGACGAGGTAGGGGCGCGAGACGTCGTCGTTTAGGAGGTAGGAGACGTGCGATTCGCCGATCTTGCGGCCGCGGCCCGGGTAGACTAGGTCGCACATGTAGAGGAATAAAGAGGAATTTTCTTTGCGCAGGCGGGATTCGATCTCGGGCATGGATTTGGCAAAGTATTTGTGCGTGAAGGCGCGGATAACGACGGTGAGCAGGTGCGTGAGTTGGCTGCAGAAGGTGGAAGATGGGGTGGCGGTTGGGCCGTCGTCGCCGTGGGTTCTGCCTGTAGGGGGGATGAAGATTGCGGTTGGGGGCCCCATGAGATGGTTGGACCTAGAGCCAATGCCGCGGCCAGAACCGCTGGAGGAGCGATGGGAGACGGGGCTGCCCCATTCGGAAACCACGCGTTGGGATCCTTTACGCTGGGAGCCGTGGCCGCTGCGGGAACCAAACTCGCGTCTGGCGTGGGCGATGGCAAAGCCGGAGACGGAACGAGGGATGGGACCGCCGCTGTAATGGGTGCCGTTCATGTGATTGTGGCCGCTGCGTGGAGGGCGGTTGGTTGAACTGACGGTGCGTTGTTGGGAAGCTTGCCAGTCGCGAGGGCCGGTAGGAGTAGGGGAAGCGGAGGAGTCGGTCACGGAAGTGTAGGGGGTGGAAGAGCGGGTGAGCATATCCAAGGCTATAGCCTTTTCCTCGGGGTCTTTGCGGACTTGCATCCACAAGTGACGCTTGCCGGCGATTTGTTCTTGGAGGGCCTGCAAATCACGTCGTCAGTCATTCGATACTGGTTACACCTGAGAGGAGAACGACATACCTTAATAACCCTCTCATCCTTCTCCTTCTCGGCCTTCATGTCGGCCTCAAACTTGTGGATCCTCTCGCGTTCCGCTCTGATCTGAGAGCGCTCAGCTTCAAGCTGCGCACGAGTCTCGTCGTAACCCATAGTGTGAGACGAGTGCATGTTTCGCAAGCTTTCGCACTCGTCGCTCTTCCTGCTGAGGACGTATGCCAGAGACTCAGCAGCGCTGGAGATGGTGGTTAGGTTCTTGAGAACCTGGGTGATGTCGACGTCAAAGCCCTGACGGAACTGAGGAGGCACGTGGTCAGACTTGTCAACAGCGTGCTTAAGTCCCATAAGCCGACGGTTGGCCTCAGCGGCCTGCTTTCTGATGTCCTGTCGAGTGTCAGTTGATGCTCAAGCTGATGATGAAGTGAGGCAGGACTTACAGAGATAGCAGGGTGGTCTCTGCTTCGAGTGAGCTCCATGGAGCTCAAACCCTTCTCCAGATGCTGGCCCTTGTTAGGGGGCGTCACCTGGTTATCAGGTGTCTTGTAGCGGTGGGGAGGATGTGACGACGTAGAAGGGTGATCCGACGCTACAGGCTGGAAGTTGTTGAATGGCTGGACCTGCCCATGACTGTTGCCAACATACGTGCCGCTGCTAGAGCGCGAATGAGACGAGTGCATAGAGACGGCCGACGCCATCGACGAGTGTCGGGAATGACCACCCGGGCGAGCACCACCAGAAGATCGCTTCTCGCTGTCACTGGGTTCGCTCGGGAACGTGTCCGTGTCAGGAGTTTCGGTCTTGTAGCTCTTAGTGTCAGACCGCCATTGTTGATAGCTTTTTGGTGGAGGCGAGAAGAGGTCAAGTTGAGCGCCGCCGCCAGCGTCGGACGAGCCGTCACTGGAGAAGCTTCCGCGACCCATGGTGACGTGAGCGGGATGTGAGCTCGGCTAGGGAATGCGAGGGTAAGTAAGGGCCGAGTGGTTGTGGAGGAGATGATGTTGGGTGGACGCGAAAGATCGCGGTTAGTAATGGGGAGAAGTTCGCAGAAAGCGAAGAAGAAGTTGTTCGTAGATGAAGGAAGTAGATTTGGTTAGTAATGCGCGATGAAGTTGAGGTGATTCCCAAATTTCGAGAAAATCCAGGCAAAGAAATACGGCGATAGATTGCTCGTGATAAAAAAGAAGCGGGAATGGAAGGGTAGAAAACAGGAGGAAGTGTGCTGAGCTGCGTCGAAGATTAAATACTGCCAAACGCTCCCGAATTTCTGGATATGTGGGGGTTGTCGGGGAGACGGAGGGGACGTGATATTAAAGTTTCTGTGGCCGGGGACTGAAAGGTGAAGGGAGAAGGAAGGTGCGAAAAGTTCAGACCAGTGGCCTCCAGATGCTCGCGGCGTTTGACTTGAGGTGCTGGTCCCAGGTCCGTCGTTGATTGGAAGGAGATGGACTACTGTGACTTCTGTGACCACGGCAATCGGGAAGATTGGACCTTGAAGCAACCATTGATGAGTGGGAGGAACCCCCTCGGTGTCCTCAATTCTTGCAAAAGGCGACGGTCGGCGTTTGCAAGCAGGTGCTTAAAACTGGGTCTGGTAATATCGGACCAGCTGTCATCTGAAGTTGAGGTGGTCACACGAGTGTGAGGGTGAGAGTGAAGATCCACAGTACTTTTACTCTCCCGGTTGCTGAGGCAATGGCACCAGCAATCCACTCCCTGATTGGACTTGTTGAAAGCACGTGGTTACTCTCCGTATTGAAGGTTGAAGTTGTTCCTAGAACAAGAGGCCTCACGACCTTGGACTGTAGTTCTGTGAAGTGTCGATCTGATTTGAGTGAGATCAGGTAGAGTGCGTTGTCAGGTCAACTGTCTGCTCCCGCCTGTGAATCGAGATATGTGCTCGACGAGTCGGTTCAACCTTTGCAAACGGCAGATGCGTGTAATATGGACTCTATCCAGGACGGAAACGTCTGTCGAAGCTGGAAACCCTGGGTATTCAAGACCGTCACTTCACGTCGGAGTGTCCCTTGCAGTATCAGCCCCTACTTTCGTGGTAGAAGTGGAAAACGGTGGTCAGAAGCGAGCCTTTTTGTCAGAAACCAAGGCTATATAGTGCCTGACCCGAAATATCTAAAGCTTTGAGATATATTTGTCTCGCTCTGAATGGGTTTCCCGGAGGCAACAGTGATCGCAAGCTGAACCCACTTGCGCAGAGTGTTCCTGCTGTGGGCATTTGACCATCACAAGCAACGCCGGAGCAGGCAAAAGACAGGACAGGGTTAGGATTAAGCCACTGGGCACACGTTCACGAATTGCTCTTGACAGACGACCAGACGGAAGGGGGAGAGACAAGATCACACCGCTGCACGATGACATGACTGTTTGCACTTGTTGCCCGGTCACTTATTTCATCTCAACTATTAATCCCTGTGTGGCCAGACCCGGCTATCATCGGTTGTTTTGTCCATCTTATGTGGAAGGAGATAAGATGGGATGGGATGAGAGGGTTTGACCAAACCCAGCTGACGCTGTCGCTGGACAACAATAGCAAGCACTTGTCGAGGAAACAGTTTTGTGAAGGTGAAGTGACAAGTTGTTGATGCCGGCAACCAAGTCTGCGCTGGCAGGTTGTTGGATGAGGGGCGGCAACTAGGATCACAGTCCGATACTCAGGTTTGACGGGCAAGTTGCCAGGCTCTAGCCAGCAGAGTATGTTTTACTTCCACTATTGGTAATCGATGTCATCTGTGTCCTTCCAAAAAAAAAAAAAAGTGACCAGTAACAGTTATTGAAAGGTTTGAAGCAAAGGTTGACACGAAGTTGGAGCGATCGCCATGGGAGAGGTTCCGAGCGTTTGCCAATTGTAGAATATTGAACTCGTAACCGTTTCTGCGATTGAGTGAGGAATGATGGTTTCTCAGAATGGAACGGAGATTTCCTCAAGTTGAATCGGGAAATGGCATAGCATATCCGTTTGCTGAACTGGTCGAGAGTCGAGACTAGAGAGGAAGTAGTAAACACAGGAGCGAATATTTGTAAAGTAAAAAGACAAGAGGCCTGCCGTCAGGTTCTCCATCAGAGAGTTAGCCTACACTCGTAGGATTGGAATCAAGAGCGACGGAGTAGCGACCATCATCAGTACGTTACAATACGGCCCGTATCAAACCCTTGTGAACATGTCAGAACCGTGGTGATGCCAAGTCACTTAAGTGTCCGTGGACATATCGATCACTAGCACACACAGTCAGGTTTTCATGGTTTCTTCCCATTCCGACCAGAACGAAGGAAAAGGGCGCGGACAAACCTTCACTCACAGTTGTCACCATCATCACAAACAAAGCGCAATCATCGAAGCTTCATATCATCCTTCTTGTATTTTCTTTTCCCGAATCTAAACAAATTTCGTTATAGGACGAAACGAAATAAAATGCATCTATGAAAACAAGGTCATTGTATTGAAGAAACGCCACCGGTGGTTATAGGATAAAGTGTCGAGCTCTGGAGGGAGAGAGGTTGATACCTTTTTGCGTGATGCACGGCGTTTAATGCATAAGAACAAAACAAGTCTCCCCGTGGCTCGAATGCCGTGCAAGTGCATGTGGTGAGAATCTGCGCTGTCGCCATGGACGGCAAAGGTCGTCTCTCATTGGCTCTTCTGGTGCAGACAGAAAATCAGTATTCGGTCGCTTTAGCCGATGTGTGGAAAAGGCCGTTTTGCAGAATAAGAAGCAGTAGGCAAACCCCCAGTCCACCCAGTCACTTCCTCGGTCTCGAAAGATGATACTGAGAAGAGGGCAGCGGGGACGATTGTCTGCATTTGCATCTCATCAGCGAGGGATCAATGGTCCTTGCGATGACCTGGTGTGGTGTTTGTGCCGTGAAACCTTGAAAGAGCAGAACTAAACTCTGATGCCGAGTGCTGTCCATCGGTGGTTGTGCTGGTTGCGCTGGTTGTTGTAGGGTTGGGTGGAGAGTATATCGCAGGACAAGTTGCTCGCTTGACGGCATGAAAGTCAAAAGGGATCCTAGAAATAAGTGACCATCGCTCCCTCGTTGGGACTGTCGGAACTCTGTATTCATGTTAGCATCTGTTCATGACTTGCTAGGTCGAGGAGAACATACAGAGAAGAATGCCTAGGAAACGCAGTCAAAAGTCGTGATTAGCGTCTTAAATCGCCTTTGAGCGAGAGAACAAACTGCTGTAGACCGCGTCCACAACAGGCGCAGCGGTAATCATTCTTCCACCGAAATACCGGCCGTTCAAGCCCTTGATGGCGTTCTCTCCTCCCTGGACCTTGTCGAACTTGAGGTAGATGTCGCCGGCCGAGTTGGGATCTAGAGAAATGTGAACGACGTGGCCATACTTGGCCTCGGCCTCTTCGCGGACATCGTCCTCGAGCTCCTTGATCCAGTCTTCACCCTCTTCCCTGTTGAACGGTTAGCATCAGATCATCAGCCTTCGAGGGACAAGGGGGTGGACGTACTCAGCAGGGTCAAACATGTTGTGAAGAACAACGCATCGACTGGCCATGTTCACGTTGACAGGCAGCGGCTTGGTCTCCGTCTTGGGCTTGAGAATCTGTCGGTCAGGAACAACGCTAGCAGGTGGCTCGTCAGTTCGTGCCAGCTTCCTCATGAGAGCATCGCGACTATAGTTGTTAAAGTTGACACCGGCAACGTCGGTGTCGTCGAGAGCACTGGCACCGGTGCCCTTCTCGTTGTCGCGTGCGCCAGCGCGATCAAAGTTGGAAGTAGCGGGGCCACGTCCACCGGCGCCCGAGAAAGCAGATCCCTGGAATTGTTGATGATGATTCTGTCCTTGGAACCTCTGCAGGAGATTGGCAGTGGACTCTGGGGTAAACTTATCGTTTCCAAGTCCAACACGAATCGGGCGACCAGCGAGGTCGAACCCATTCATCTTTTCGAGGGCCTCTCTGGCCTGACCAGCGTCACGGAACCTAGCGGGGTTGGTGAGTTAGCAAAGCTGTTTCTTTCAAGAAAATAAAGATGTGATGGACATACTGTACAAATCCGTAACCACGGCTCCTGCCGTTGTCGTCCTTCTGGAGCTGGACAAACTCGAGTTCGCCAAAGGGCTCAAAAACATTCTGCAAATCTTGCTCCGTAATACTAAAATGGATGTTGCCCACGTAAAGACGGTGGAAAGGAATCGAGTTGGGGTGGTGTCCAGTGGACTCCGTGGTGCGCACTTGGCGGTTTTTCTCAGCCTCGGTAAGCTGGACGATGACAGGAATACCTAGGAGTTTCTGGCCAGTGAGCTGGAGAGCGGCTTGGACGTGTTCTTCGCTCTTGAATTCAACATAACCAACGCTGTCAACCTTTTGTTAGCCTGCGTCTCTTAAAAGATAATGCGGAACAGATGGACCGCGGTGTAGCATACCCCTTGGAGCGATTGCTGACCCTGTCCTTCACAATCTGGGCCTCGGCAACAGGGCCGACCTTCTCAAAAAACTCCTTAAGCTCGCGAGTGCGCAGACGGGCGGCCAACTGCTGGACGAACACGGTGCGGCGATCACGCTCGTCCTCGGTCAGGGGCGGAGGGGTGCCATCTCTGACCCGGGGGGTGTTTCTGCCGCTGCGGCGGTCGTCGTCACGTCGGCGGTAGCTGTCACCGCCACGGCGATCATCGCCCCGGGGCCGGTAGTAGCGGTTTGGGGAGCGAGATCGGGAGCGGCCTCCGCGGCCTCGGTAGTAATCTCCGTCTCTGTGACGGCGTGAGTGTCGGCCAGATTCACGGCTCCGGCTCCGACGCCTACTTCGGTGGCTTCCGGCCTCACTGCGGGGGGTATCTCTACCAGCTTCACTCGACGAATTGCGAAGGCGGCCCGAACTGCGGTCGCGATGTCTCCTGGCCCGGTCCCTGCTGGTATCTCTGCCCCGATCACGATCACCACGGTCTCGCCCGTCGCGCTCTTTGTCGCGGTCCGTGTCACGGTCACGGCGTTCTGATTTGGAGCCGTTCTGGTCGGCGTCGCCGTTGGTGGTAGGAGGGTCAATGTCCATCTGCTCCTTGTTGGAGGCAGTGGAATCGAGGAGTGCCTCGACGTCTAGGCCCGACATTTTGTGTAATCCGGAATGGTCTATATCGGTGTATTCAGATCGATGTGGCGTCGACAAGTTGATGATTCGGCACGATTTTAAACAAGCGCTCTGTGACTAGAGCAGCAAAAGTGGCGTGGTTGCCTGGTCCTGCGCAAGTATGTTGGTGGATTGTCAAGGTGGATGTTGGGAGCGGAGTCGCAGTTTCCGGTCTTGCAATAAAATGGATTCAACTGAAATGGCAGCCTCAAGGGGTCTGGGCGCTTGGACTTCAGGCTGTGGCGGCCCTTCACTGGCTGGCCGGTCGCCCGAGACGGATTTGTTAGGGCGCACGTGACGTCCGCTCGCAGAAACTGTTCGGAGCCAAGGCGAATTGCAGTGACCGCATTTCTTCAGATTGGGCCGTTCTACAGTAAATTACACCCCATCGCTGTATGTTTTGGTAAAGCTCAAGATTTCCTGTAGAACCCATAACAGCCAACAAGGTGCACGCCTCGACCAATCGCCCTGACCTGACAACAAGGCGATATAAGCATCAGCTCCGCATCAGACACTTCTTCAGTTGAACGATTCCATTCACTTTAGCACTTCCAAGTCATTCATATTAACATTAGGGGTATTGACCAACGACCGAAAAAAGCAACAACACATGTTATCCATGATGATTCCCTCCCTTGCTGCCAGCCCAGTCCAGTCCAGTCCAGTCCAGCCCGGCCAAACCCAACAGCTAGACGCCCCATCCATCTCCTTGGCCTATCAACCAGGCCGCCGACCAGCCCAAACAGAAGCAAACAAACCCTTCCCATTTACTTTTCTCTTTGTTTCCCTTTGCTGCCTGCCTGCCTGCCCAACCCATGATAAGAGAATTTCCTGCCCACCCTATTGCGTATGTACGACGTCAATACTTCATGAATCCTATTCTATGTACATACTCAGTCTTTTTCCGTTTTCTTTCATTACAAAATGGTTGTTTTTAAAATAGGTATGTACTTCCAACGACGACGCCTTGCGAAGGTGTAGTCGGGCTGTGTGAAGAAAAGCGAGTCCGAACTCTAGACTCCAAAAGTCCACCTGGGCATGGCACTTAGTTCGTCTTGGTGTTGTACACAAGCTCGGTACCAAAGATCTTGTCCCAGAAGGCGCTGGTGACTCCAAAGCCGTTCTCGTAGTCGAGGAAGTGGTGGGCAAGGTGGTACTTCTTGAGCGCCTTGTAGTAGGCGGGCAGGTTCTGGTGGTGAAGGAAGTAGTGTGTCATGTCGTAGAGGGTGTAGCCAAAGACACCGCCGCAGAAGGCAGCCGTGGCGGCGTACCAGTTGTAAAACAGGACGGCGTGGGCGAACTTCCAGAAGGGAGCGGCCAGGACCACGAAGAGGGTGGGTGGCATGACGAGGCGGTACTTGTCCATGGGCAAATAGTGGTGGATGCCGTGGAGGAGGAAGTGGGCAGTGATGCCGACGCGGTTGTCAGGGAGGTAGCTAGAAAGAAACGGGTAAGTACTCGTGTTCAACTGCTGCGCTGGATGGTGTGGGAATACTCACTAATCAAGGTGGAACAGGAAGCGATGGAGAATGTACTCGATCAATGTCCAGAAGCAAAGGCCAAATCCGAAATAGCCGGCCACAGGAGCAACGCTACCAAAGCCCGAGAATGCGACGTAGAGACCGTAAGAGATGGGTGGCCACCAGACAAGAGGAATCAACCACCAGGGAGTCTTTGACAGAGGCTCGAGAAAGTTGCCAAACAAAGGCGCAGACTCTCCTCCCTTGTAGTGGCGCGGACGGTGGACTTGGTCAAGGTAGAAGTCCTTGGAGAAACCACCTCTCCAGATCTGCATGAACAGCGGCTTGTTCAAGTCGAGGAACTTGTGTGTCTTGTAATCGGCGTTGTAGTCGGTGTCCTTGCTGAGGTCCTCTTCGCAGGACATACCCGTCCGAGGATGAACCCACTGCTCTTCTGTTCCGTTCTCTCCGCCCTTTGCCTTTCCGTTCGCTGAAGCATCGTTTCCAGATTCGAGAAATCCCACCAGCGACTCGTCAAGGACTTCGTATGCGGCCTCGGAGTGAGTATGCGACGCCTCATCCTTGAGGATGGCGCCAATGTCTTTGCCGGCCCAGTCGAGGACAAGCTCAGCACCGCCGGGGTGAGAGTCGAGGAAGTCGGTCACGTCGTAGACATTCTTGCCAACGGTGACATAGCAAGACTTTGCTGAGTTGTGCGACTCGACCTGGTCGATGGTGAAGGTGGGGAGAGTTGCGCCCGGCATGGTGGCTGTATTGTTGTCGCAGGATGCTATGCTCTCTGCAATGTGAAAGGCGGCGTTTCTCGGAAGTGCTGGGATGTTTTGGTATGGGATTCTCTCGCTTCTCGCTTATAACTTTTTGGGCGGTGAAAGAACAAAAACAGTCCAAAAGACAAGCAAGATACGGGCTACCTAGCAGCGGGGATGTCGAACAGTTTATAAAAGGAGGGACTGGAACCTCAAACACCAGACTGGAGCATTAAAAAAAGGCAATAGGAAGTGAAATAATGTAGGTACGGGGAAAGGGGTTGTTATATTGGAGTTACAGGATCCGCGGAGAGGGAAGGGCAAGTCGTGGTTTGCGTGTTGGAGAACGGACGACTTTTCGAGTCCGGATTTCAGGGGTTCCCAAGTTCCCGGGGGCGCGCGACAGCTGTCACTCGCTGTGGTCCCCGGTACACGGAATGCGCGTAAAATCGGTCAGCAGAGGGTGGCGTTATCCGATGGTGCCGGTGGGTCCGCCAAGACGCCGCAGGGCAGAGAAATCGAACTCTTTTTTTCTTTCTCTTGAGAATTGATTTCGCTGCATCTTGCCTGGACTGTGTCTGGATCTCTCTGAAACCGCACGCATAACCCTAGAGTCGACGACAACCCTGGCGATGGGTTGGTCATCGTGTTATCGCGCCCCACTTGTCGGTCGGGTGCGGTGCCTGCCGATTGCTTGCTATTCTCCCCACCTCAGCCACTGCAGGTCCCTTTGGAAGTTTGGAGGGATTTTGGCGGGGCAAGGTGATGAGCAAAGTGGGCACAAGACTGAGGGCGGGACAGGACTTGTGCAATTCTCCGTCGCCAATGTTTTTTGCTCCTGTCGGTGGGTTTCCTTTTGTTGCTTCATGTGACAGTGGTTTGGATGAAAGACAAAGTGCGACAATGCAGATGGAACCGCATGGAGTTATACCGCTTTTAGATGGGAAAGCAGTATGTCCAACGGGATTGATATCGTAAAGTCATTCGGATTCAACATCATCCATGTCAAACCTCCAGATGGACAACAGCGTGACTGACAACTTTATGAACTTTTGAGATGGGACGGCGGGATCATTCATGGAGTCCATGGCTCCACCCCAAGAACTCTTGGGAACTCTTGGGAACTGGGCCGCGACCGCAGCAACGGCTTTGAAGCAGCTTTGAATCCCGAGATGGGATAAGAGCTTGGAGAGCATTGAAGCATTGACTGCGGACAACGCAATTCGATTTGTTCACAAGGGAAAGCACCAGCCTCGGGTCCCCGTTCCAAAAAGTGTTCGGTGTAGTTGCGACATGGGAGGATGTCAAAATCTGACGTCAAGGGCTCTGCTTGGGGTGCTTGGCGCTCCTCATTGATCAAGCTCAGCTCTTCTTCAGGTCGCAGCTTAGCCGTGCCTTCCCCATCCCCATCCTCTTGAAAAGTCCGTAATCTGCCCACTGGACGCTCTTTCCAGCTTCAGGCCGCCAGTCTTACTCTGTCTTCCAAGTTTCCTCCAATTGTACTGCTCCAAAGACGTCCGCGAGGCACACCTTTTGCGCAAAGAGATAGGTAGCTGAGTCACGCGCTCTTTTCAAGTATTGCGCCTACTATCTCTAGCTACATCATCTCTCCGGCAAATGCTGGAAGTCATTTTTTACCTCTTACATTACATTCTATAATTGAGCAAAGACTTCATTGATTTACGCGTGCATACACCACAACAACACCCGAAGCTACACACCAAGTTACACAACGATGGCGGGTCTCAGGATAGGCTGGGGCAGCGTCTTGCTGGTCCTAGCTCTTGTTCTGGTTGTTCTCCCAGACAAGGCCGCAGCTTTCGGTGCCGGCAACATTCCCTCTATCGCCCAGGTCGAGGGCCACAACTGGCGACATGGCGATATCGAAGATGTTCTCAAGACTCTGGCCTTCATCAATGGCAAAAAGTGGACGACTATGATGGTTGGGCGTACCTACTTTGGTAACTGGCTCAGAGACTACTCCCAGGCTATCGATGTTGGCAGCTTGAAGGGAGTCAATGCGGCTACCATTCGCATCATTGTAAGTCTTCGATCCCATTAATGCCAAGCCCAACTTTCATCCCATCCACTAACTCTTGTCACTAGGTGTGGGTTCTTTCCTTCCTGGCTCACGGATACGCTACCGAAGAGTTCGAAGTTACCGAGGAGCGTCTGGGCGTTTACAGACCCGAGGAACACATCGACAACCCTCTCGGCTACGCTGATGGAAAAGATGCCCGCGAGTATGACCCAAGACTACGAGGACCGGTAGACCCCCGAGAACTCGAAATCGATCGATTCACGGGCATGAAAAATTACATCGCCAACGAAGCAGCGGCCAATGCTCACGACGGCTGGAAAACCACCAGTGCTGGCTATATCCGTTACAGTTTGCGGCGTTGCGTGCATTATGGTCGTCTATATACCAGCGGCTCTCATGGCAAAGGCAAGGAGTCTGACCTGTGCGAGGCCTTGAGGTGCTTGGGACAGGCCCTTCATACCTTTGAGGACTTTCCTGCCCACAGCAACTACTGCGAATTGGCCCTAATCGAGATGGGGCACAGCACAGTCTTCCCCCACGTTGGCACAGATACTAAGGTACATCTCAGAACGAATGGAAAGTGGGTTTATCCCCTAGTCACGGGCACCTTTGGAGGAGTCGACTTCTTGCACTCTGTATTGGGCGAGGCCAACGATCACTTCACCCAGTCCGAGGTTGACGAGATGAACAATGCCCTCCTGAATGCTGAAGTACTGACCAAGGGATCCGGTACTGGTTCTTCCCGCGGCGGCGGCCTTAGTCTCTTTGGTCTGAACTTGGGCGGCTCCTCTAGCAATGACGGGGACTTCATCTCCCTTGTTTCCAAGCTCCCGGGCGTCGGTGACAACTATGCCAGCACGGCCCGTAGTCTGAAGGCTGCCTCCGAAGCCCAGGAGCAGGAAAACAACAGTAGATCCGCTGGCAATGTCAACATTGTTCCTGGTATGAGCCCTAACTTTGACCCCGTCAAGACTGCGGCCAAGATCTACCCAATCCTCGAGTTCCGTGACAAGATTGTCAGGTCCATCAACAACATGATTGAGAAAATTCCCGGCTTGGAAAGTTTGTTGGAGAAGATCAGCGAGACTCTCACGGCTTTCATCCTGGGCTTGCTGGCTCCTTTCCTGCGCCCCATCATCAATCAGGTCACCCAAGTGTTGAAGGAGGGCTCATCTGGTCTCATCGCGACCAGCGCAAAGCAGCAGCTCGAGCCGTGGGATAATCCTCAGTGCGACAATCCTACGCACTCTATGCTTTCCAAGGATCACTTTACCAACATTCTGAACTCGTGCGCCGGTCGCGTCGCCGCTACCATTCTTCAATACGTAGTTCCGTAGGTATCTCCTGTTTCCCCCCTTATGTTCAACCTTTGCTAATTCCGACAACACCAGCCGAGTTGTCTACGCGTGGGAGAACCCCGGTGTGCCTGTCGACGAGATGATTGACGACGTCCTTCGAGTTTTCCACCATCCTGCTAACCGGAACGAGGGCATTGACATTCAACGTATGATGTACGACACCGTATATCAGTGGTCCAAGGATACTCATTATGACTGGAAAACGCTCCTCAGATCCGATAAGGTCAAGGAAGGCCACAACCATGTCCTGAACGGTCAACCTATGGACCGCGGCCCCGGTGGCGGTCATACCGGGTGCGGCGCTGATGGTGGCCACGGTAAGGTGGCTGGTTCTCTTTGGAGCAAGATTCAAACCCGTGATCTGGACACTTCTATCCCTGGCGGCTTTGGAGGTGGTGGTAGGTCTTCCTCCTCCACCGGCCACAAGTACGGTTATTCCGCCTCCTCTTCTCATCACGAGGTTCCAGCCCACGGTGAGGCAGCATCTTACTTCTCCTCCGCCGACCCACGCCCTGCCTCCCCGCCATCAGGTCGCTACTACGGCAGCCGCCCCTCTTCCTCCGGGCACGGATCTTCCGCCTATGGTTCGGGCCGTCCTTCACCCGCCCCTGCATCCTTCGGGTACCACCATGGCGGTCATCAGGCTTATGAGGGCAGCAGCGGCTTCTCTTCGCAGCCGTCATACGGAGGATCTTCTGGGCCATCATACGGCGGTTCTTCCCAATCCAGCTATGGTGCTCAGCCTTCTTACCCCCCTCAACCTGCCTACGGCGCTCACCCCTCTCAACCTACTTACGGCTCTCACCCCTCTCAACCTACTTACGGCTCTCACCCCTCCCAGCCATCTTACGGTTCCCAGCCTCCCTATGGCGGGCCCCTCACAGCCCTACGGCGCTGACGTCCCCCTCTCCTCCTCGTCCCTCTGGCTACGGCGGCGGATACGCTGGCTACTCCGCTGGTCCCGCTCCCAGCCACGGTGGCTACGGCGGTGGTCCACCAGGTGGTGCTCCTCCCTACCCCCATGGCGGTCCAGTAGGTGGTGGTGGTGGTGCTCCTTACCCGCATGGTGGAAAGTCCGATGCATATGAGAGAAATTATGATCAGCATTATCAGAGAGATGACAGACGTGGTGATAGAGATGGCAGGCGGAGGAGAAGAAGCCATGGTAGTAGGAGTAGTAGCGAGGAGCGGGATGGAAGAGGATACCCCGGGCAAGGGTCTAGGGGAAGTGGTCATCATGGTGGTGGTGGAGCGTACGGAGGGGGATATGGTGGTGGTTATGGTGGTGGTGGATATGGAGGAGGTTATGGAGGCAGGTAAGAGCACCGGAGATACTGAGCTTGGTTACGTGGTGGACAGAGATGTGCGTATTCACAATGTGGATGGAAACGATGATTTTGGATAATGAATGGTTACGAAGTTCAATGAGTATGCTTGATCCGCAGTGAGGTTGGTAGATCCTTTTTGTTTTCTTTTTGGTATGATACCATTCCCTTCCGTTCGATAGCTTTATCCTATAGTTATAAGAATATGCTTGACTTATTGAATGCAGTGTTCAGAGACTGTGAATAAATGAATGAATCGATGAATGATTGAATGAATGTATTTTTCGACTAAGTTCTACCAATACTAGTTAATGAGTCGTGCCCGCGACGGCGGCTGGGCATAGGTACATAAGTGCGGGGAAAAAAGCATCGGTCAGCCAAGTCGGACTATGGCGTGGCTTTGCGTTAAAACCCATAATCTCTGTGCGGTTTCGAAAAACCATCTGGAAGACCCTTTTCCTAAGCTAACCCCGACATTGCGAGGTTTTGAAAAGTGTATATTATCCGAGGAGAATGCGGTCTTCTCCGATGTTGAATGAAAAGAGGTTGAGAAGGAAATTCCGATTAGAATGCGACCCAGCCGTTTTAGGTCCAGCAAGCGGCGTTCTAAGGGGGAGGTTTCCGAAGAGTGGTTGTCGCTCGCCCCCCAACAAGCTGTCGTCTCTCCGGCGCTCTTTCTTCTCAAGATGCTTTTGAAGAGCTCGGTTTCAAAAGCTATAGCTGGGGGCGAGACGGCGGTGAAGTCTCCAAAGGCCGCCGTCGTGGTCGTGGTTGTAGTTTCGAATGTATCTTCCCGAGTTCGAAATGATAGAAAAGCGGTGGGTTAGGCCACCGATATCTATTGCACCAAAAAATAGGGTAATCCTAGCACGGCCACTAACAACCGGCTAACAGTGGGTGCCAAGAAAAGTATTTTCGGGTGAGGGTTATTCAGAGACTGTGAATTTGGAACGACGATCCCCCTAACCCAGTATATCTCCTTATTGACGTACGGCCATCTATGTCTAAGACGCCAAGAAGAGATCTCGAAATATCGACGGAAAATATTCCCTCTTCTTCATTGATGAAGCTAGGCCAGTTCATAAATCCCCGCCAGACTGGAGTCCTCAGGAATCTCATGATGATCAGCAGTAGATACCCGATCTATGAAACTTAGAATATCATGACAATGGGCATACCAAACGGCCAACTCAAGCGCTTCAGGAGGCCTGGCAGTCCAGTTAGTGTAGCACCGGCGCTTAAGAATGTAACTTCATTGGTGCCATCCCCCTACCTAGGTACCCCTATCCCGTGCGATGCAAAGTTGCCTTGCGTATTTGTTCAATTCCATCCTATTGATCTATGTCAATTCCCACCACCTCTCTCAGTTGCCGCCCCAAATTCAATATTCGACATGTTAAGTTAACTCCTTCTTTATATCCTTCCCCCAGTGTTCATAATGAGCTGAGGTAAGTTTTTTTTTCCGTCGCTTTACCTCAACTCGTTTGAAATCGTTCTACTTGCCTCATTTCAGCGTTGAAATTACTTGCTTCATTGGGAAGTAAAGCCGGAAACCCTATTTTTCCGGTCCCAAAATACAATAATTATATACTTTCTTTAGTCGCCCCCCTCTTCCCCTCTTTAGTGGTCAAACGAACAACCGTCGGGGACAGACTTTTCGCGGGAGGGACGGACGGACACGGTACCAAGCGCCAGACATTGTAAAGAACTGGATTCTCAGCACATATAAATGTAATGAGTTGAAATGAGGCGAGTAAGTAAAGCGACTTCGGCTACTTTACTTGCAGCGGAACTCGACTTGCCTCACAAACTTACCTCACCTTATTACTCATTACTCATTACTTAACTCATTATGAACACCAACTTCCCCTCTGTCTTGTCCTCACCATTTCTCATCAAGCCATATCTCTACCACTACAGGCCACCACTTCCTTCCTACCTCTCTTATAACCACCCTATACCATCTGATTTGACTTATACCTTGAGTCCAGCTCTATACCTCTCCTCCCTATTTCCGCCCGATCCCGTTTGGGTTCTCAGGGGCTTAGCTTCCAGCTTCCCTTGAGATCAAAATGGCTCCACCAACCCTTTGTTCCATCTGCGCCATCGTCCCGCACTGGCTTGCCTCTCTATGTTGGGATCCGACAAAGGGCGCATCGGAATTCACGTACTCTTATACCGACACGACTGTCACTTTGGGGTCTTGGAGGTGGATGTTGGCGCAGGCTGAGAAGGCTGAACAGGCGGCGGCGGAGAGGAATGGATGCGGCAATGGATGTGGAAGTGGAGGTGGAAGCGACGAACTTTTCAAGGAATATGAAGCCGGAGAGGGACATGGAGGGAAATGGGGCAAAAAAGAATTTTATGAAGTTCAAGGAGATGGAGACGAAGAAGGGGAAAGAAACGCGGGAAAGGGGGCAAGAGGAGCAAGGGGATACGGGTATGGATATGGATATGGAGTGGGAGAACAAGAACTCGGAATCGGACTACAAGAAGGAGAAGGACAAGACAAAGGATGCAACCTCTGCCTCATGATCACCAAATGCACCAGCCGCAAGTCTTGCTACCCGTACGATGCGAGGCCGTATTACCTGCCGCCCGTGATGGATCCGCGGCGCGATGAGCGGTACCGAGACGTGCCGCTGGTGTTTGGGAGGAAAAGCAAGAAGACGATTGGGGCGCACACGGCCGGGAGACCTGACGAGTGGCAGTTTTGGATCCATTGTTTGAATATGGAGGTTTTCATGGCGGATGTGGTGGTTGTTCCGGGGAGTTGGTGTAAGTTTTGTCTTTTTTTTTTCCTCTTCTTTTTCTCTCTGTTGATGTGCTTGTGCCCTGTGTTTTCGGTTTTTTCTTTGGCGGTTTTTTTCTTCTTTTTTTCCTCTTCTTTTTTTGTGTTTGGGAGAACGCTCATTTGCTTACAGCGAATCTGTTTTTCGTGCGGTTTGATGATAATACAGGTCCAAAATTATCGCCGCCCATGGCGTATAACGACCAGAATCCGGAAAACAACATCCTGCTCATGAAGGATTGGTTAGAGAACTGCCGAAGAAACCATGCAAAATGCAGCGAGATCAAGAAGACCACGGAGACGACGACGGGCGCGGATTCCTTCTTGCCAACTAGGTTGCTTGATGTTCAAGCATTCGGAACAGGCGGTAAAGCGACCTCCTATCTTGGGAGAGATGTCAGGCTCGTCTCTTTGAGTTCAAGACCAAAAACGATGGGCTCAGAGGCGGATACGAACAACAACACAAAGTTACCGCCCTACCTCACGCTAAGTCACTGCTGGGGACCGCCGGAAAAGCGACCCACGACAACAACCAAATACAGCCTGGGCGAACGAATGAAGATGATTCCGTTGTTTGAGTTGCCCAGGACCTTTCAGGATGCCATCGAAATAACCCGCAAACTGGGCTATCGATACCTCTGGATCGACTCCCTGTGCATCGTCCAAGACGACGAGCAAGACTGGGCGCACGAAGCCGGTCTGATGGCCAAGGTCTACTCGCATTCCTCCTGTACGCTCTCCGCGCTGAGCTCCCACGATAGCAGCGAAGGCTTGCACCTGGAACCGTTGAATGAGGACCGTTCCTTTATGGATATTATCTTGCCCACCCCATGGCCATCGTCGCACCCCGTTGGTAGTACTAATGCCTGTACTGGTACTGACACTGACACTGGAATCGGAAAGAAAGAAAGCGACATGGACAACACCTTCTCCTACACCCCCCGCTTCCGAATGCTTTTCTCCCGAGAATACTGGTACACCCTCTACAACGGCAAGGTCCTAGGCGGACTGTGCGACGACAAGTCGCCGCTGCGCTCGCGGGCCTGGACGCTGCAGGAGCGCGAGCTTTCGCGGAGGGTCATCCACTTTGCGAAAGGCCAGGTGCTGTGGGAGTGCGCGGAGCTGAAAGCGACTGCGCAGCAGCCGTGGCATGACTCGTCCTATGTGGTAATGGACCCAAAATGGCAGTGGGAGGAGTGGCCGAAGATAGCGGAGAGTTTTGAGAGCCTGAACCTTGTTCGAGACTGCGATGATGGTTCGGTTCAGGCCACCGACTCTGCCTCTGCCTCTTCCTCTGCCTATTCCTCTATCCTTACCGCTCTCACCCCTTCCTCTCTGCTCGCAGCCTACCAAAGTGAGAAAGAATGGTGGGACATGGTATACGACTACAGCGAGCGGCTGTTATCCAAAGACACGGACAGACTGGCTGCTTTATCCGGGATGGCGCAGTTTTTCCAGCGCAACCACTTCCCTCACGCACGGTATGTGGCCGGGCTATGGAGCTCTCGGCTGGAGGACGAGTTGTTTTGGGATTCTGAGGATACGATCGACGCGAGAAGACCGACGGATTATGTCGCGCCCAGCTGGTCGTGGGCGTCCGTCAATGGGCGTGTATCATTCAGGATGCTAGTGGATCCTGTCAGGAGGTTCAAGAAGCTGAGGAAGAAGATGCTAGCTGTGGCGGCTGAGAGCATTGCAGCTGATTCCGAGGGTGAAGACGGAGACAGCGAGACCGAAAACAAGGACAACGATGAAGAGAGACAAAGACAAAAGGCTCTACAAAAAGTGGTATGCGAAGGATGGAAAATCGACGAGGTTAACGTACTCCCCAAGTACGACGACCCGTGTGGTGCGCTGAAGGGGGGAAGTCTGATAATAAGCGGCGCCCGTCTCGTCGAGGTGGAAGTGTTTACCGAAACCATGCTTGAACCAGACCCCGAGTACATTTTGGGGTTCCATCGTCATTACGGCGGCTTGAAGATAGACGGTCGTTGGGTGGCTGATCATAGACTTGATGTTCCAGGGGAAGCAGATCGGGACGATAGTAGACTGGTATGTCTGGGCATGTTGGCGGAAAGAGGTTTCAGGGAGAAGTTAGTGATAGGGGGTCTTCTTCTCAGGAAGGAGAACGTTGATGTAGATAGCGATGGCGGTGTTTGTGTTTATACCCGGGTGGGAAGATTCCACCGTATGGCGGTGGAATATTTTGATGGCGTTGAACCACGGCGGATCAAACTGATATAGGTGGGTGGTTAACGGAGATTGACCAACCTGTTCGTACCAACCAGACCAAACCCATGGCCCGAACTACACAATATGTGGAAAGCGGGAGTACCATCTGCTAGCGATGTCAATAAATGAAAGATATTCCCCCCCTGTGGCAATGGAAAAGAGAAGTGACTCGCCTGGATTGAAAATTATCTTGCCGATATGACGTCGTTGCATGCAAGACGCAGGCCCGCATAACTACCTGTACCGGTAGTATCATCGCCCTTCACAGTCTTAGTAGCCGTAGAAATGTTCTTTTCAATTGAGAAAGAGATACCGGACGCATATATGTCTTCATGTTATTATCTGGTGGTGGGTCTGTTTTTCTTTTTTTCGCTACATCGCGGTACTTGGATCTCTTACTATATGATTTGAGGTAGGGAGCTTGATGGAGCAGAGGATGAGCAGGGGACGAGAAAACCGAAAGGGTCTACCTCTTTGATAATGATCAGGAACATGTGGAGGTTGGAAGGGTGGCACCTTCTTAAAGATGGGAATAAGCGCTAGAGCAACCGTAGGTGGGGATCCGGGATGGTTACTGCCTCTTGAAATCAGATGCCGCTTGCTTCAGCCACTTTGAGTGTTGCCGACTGTCAGCCGCCAGGCAACAGCATGGAGGATGAACGGGAGTTTGAACTGGGTGTCTATCTCTTGATCTGTTTCACATTCGCCCTCAAGTCGAAGCTCACCTCTGCTCGTGCAACATTTAATTCGACCTGTCATTCAAAAGCAGTCTTCCCAAAAATAAAAACTAAACTTTTATCCTCGCCGATTATTGCCATTCACAGAGTCCAAATCTCTCCACCATGGAGACATTCCCAGAAGGACGCTTAGGCGTGCCTATCGACGGCGTCCAGCCTGATCATCAATCAATTGTTCTCGAGGATGGTGCGAAGCTCTGCAACTCACAAATCCCGGCCCAGTTCTGGGTAACGGAACCTGACGGAGAAGAAGAGACCATTACCGCCACACTCCAGCCGCTGAGAACGATACGAGAAACGGCAGAGAGAAAAGGATGTCGTTTATGTTTTTTCCTCCATGCAAGACATAGGTCTAGTGTCTGGACCGACACCGTTGATGGACATGACGTTTCTGTGGACGACCTTTCAGACACGCAAGAAGGCAAGCTCAGGAAACGTAGAAAAAAACTCTCTGGTGGCATTGATGAAAGATTTGAACTCACTTGCCATTATGGGTCGGTATCGTCGGCAAGGTTTTACTTATACAAAGCTCCTTCTTGGTGGCGTAAGTGACTCCACCGATCCCCTTTTGCTACCGCAACGCTGCTCAGACGATTTCTGTGCATAATATGTATCCAGGGCCTCCACCACTTATCTTGAACGATCAAGACTCCACCGCTGATGTCGAACAAATGCCGATGAAGTGTTGGTTCGACAATTTCCAGCGCAACCATACAGTTTGTAACGAAACCCAGAAGGATTTCTTGCCAACCAGACTTTTGGACCTGAAAGCGTCCGAGGTTTGCAACGATGTAAGGCTAGTATCTCTACGTTTAGAAGATTTCTTGCAAAGCAAAGATTCAGACACAGTACTGGGCTATATGACCTTGAGCCACTGATGGGGGCCACCAGAAAAACGACCAGTTGTCACAACTAATACGAACCTCGGAAGCAGAATAGAAAAGATACCTTGCGGTGACCTTCCAAAAACATTCCAGACGCCGTAGATACGACACGAAAGCTGGGCCAACGATATCTCTGGATTGATTCTCTCTGTATCATTCAAGGCGATGTGGATGACTGGGCCAAGGAGGCTGCTATAATAGGCAAGGTCTATACACATTCTTATTTTACACTTGCGGCCCTAAGCTCCAAGGATAGTACTGAGGGTCTCAAGATATTCGGTGGAATTCAACAATACGGCCTTGAGTTCCTCGACATAAGCGTAAACAGCGACAAAAATCGCTTGCTCCAATGCCAACTGAGAAGCCGTTGGTTCGAGCTGTTAGAAAGATATAGCGAGCAATCCCCGACCAAAGACATCGACAAGCTGCCTGCTCTGTCGGGCATAGCACAAGCCTACAGCCGTGGATCGGGATATATTGCTCCCACTTGATCCTGGGCAAACCAGAAAGGGGCAATACAGTAGGTACCTACCGCTCACTTCTGACGTTTATCTGGACGGAAATACCCGGGAGATCCATCATCCATCGGTGGTGTGGTTGAACAAACTCAAGGTGGTGGAGATTAAAGGGAAACCGAGCCACAGTGATGAGTACGGTGCACTCAGAGAAGGTGCTACGCTGGTCCTGACCGGGGCTCGTATTTTCACACTAGGACTGGTCCACAGACACTCGAGTGTGGTATTCTTTAACTTCTACGGCAAGTACAGCAAACCGGTCGGGTCTTTTGAGCTGGATGATCCTGCGGTTTTTTCAGCTATGGGCACGTTTGTATGTCTGGGTATCTCGATTTCAGCGACGGGTGAAGCCATCCAGGGCCTGGTTCTTGAGAAACACGTCCATGACGGAGATGTGGCATACAGGCAAGTAGCATATGTGGATGAGCTCGATCCGTCGTTCTGAGATACTTCAGGTCCGTACCGGATAACTCTAATCTGAACTTCCATGAAACGTAACCCAAGAACGAAAGCCACATGAGCGTCAGCAAGCCAGCAAGTACAAACCAGCAAGGTCATGTTGGAGTACGAAGAATGAGGGGCTGTCCATTCATCCATCACTCCCATATCGACTGTCATGTGTTGGTGGTAGTGGCAGGACTCAAACATAGTACTGTGCGGATTCATTTTGTCAGTGGCGGTGCTAGAGCAGCTAGGACGGCTGTAGGATGAGCGAGGAGGTGAGAGCTAGGAAAGGTAGGTGTAGGTAGGTACCTTAGAAAAACGGGTAAGGTTGTGAAGACCTAACGAGTACATATACACTTCTTTGACGAGATGGCTTTTGGTTGTATGTTGCTCTATCGGCTGGACTTCATTAAAGCCAAGTACATATGTTCTCCTTGTCGACTCAGCAGGCTCTCCCCACCACCGATACCCCTTTCCCTTTGAAGGTTTGACAATCTGAACATGAATGACCCTTCTGCTTCCATGTGAAACAATACCGGTACGTCGACGAGATGATTGACGACGTCCTCCGGGCTTTCCACCATCCCGCCAACCGCGACGAGCGCATTGAGATTCAACGTATGATGTACGACACCGTTCTGCAGTGGACCCGGGAGACTCACTATGATTACGATGATCTCCTTTCGTCCGAGTCCGTCAAGGAAGGCCACAACCATGTTCTGAACGGTAAACCCATGGATCGCGGCTCCGGTGGCGGTCATACCGGGTGCGGTGCTGATGGTGGCCACGGCAAGGTTGCGGGCTCCCTCTGGAGCAAGATTCAGACCCGCGCACTTGACACTTCCAGTCCTGTTGGCGGAGGAGACGGTAGGCCCTCTTCCTCTACTGGTCGCAAGTATGGCTACTCCTCTAGCTCCTCCTCCCATCACCAGATCCCCACCCATGGCGAGGCAGCCTCGTACTTTTCTTCTGCCGATCAGCGTCCTGCCTCCCCACCGGGTCACTTCTACGGTAGCCGCCTCTCTTCCTCTGGGTACGGATCTTCTGCCTACGGTTCGGGTCGTCCTTCACCCGCCCCTGCGTCCTTTGGGTACCACCATGCCGGCCACCAAGCGTATGAGGGCAGCAGCGGCTTTCCTTCGCAGCCCTCATACGGGGGATCCTCTGGCCCATCATACGGCGGGTCTTCCCAACCCAGCTATGGTTCCCAGCCTTCCTACCCCTCCCGACCTTCCTATGGTTCCCAGCCTCCCTATGGCGGCCCCCCTCACAGCCCCTACGGCGCTGGACATCCCCCCTCTCCTCCTCGTCCCTCTGGCTATGGCGGCGGATACGCTGGCTACTCCGCTGGTCCCACTCCCAGCCACGGTGGCTACGGCAGCGGTCCAGCAGGTGGTGCTCCTCCCTACCCCTATGGCGGTCCAGTAGGTGGTGGCGGTGGTGCTCCTTACCCACATGGCGGAAGGGCTAATACATACGAGAGAAACTATGATCAGCATTATGATAGGGACGACAGACATTCTGGTAGAGAGGGTAGGAGGAGGAGAGGAAGTCGTGAAAGTAGGAGTAGCAGCGAAGAGCGTGATGGAAGAGGATACCCCGGGTGTCACACGGACATTTGCCCATAGTTCTGGGTTAAGGTTGCCGAGGCTTAGCAGAGTCTCAATGCCTGACATCAGCCTCATGAATGCCCGGTGGCCGCAGGCCGCGAGGCTCAACCTCACTTTGGCCAGACTCTCAGCTACCAGCATTGCTCACCCAAGCCCCTCTCAATGCCTTCAGGCTAGCGAGCCAACCATCGAACTGCCGACGACGCTAGTAAGCGAGATGAGGCAATCCCCGGTCATCACAGAAGCGATCACAGCAACCAAGCAAGGATCAGAGCGGCCGAACAAGGATCGGCGCCAGAAGAAGGAAGTAGAATGGTTGAAGGCACTCAGGAAGATCCACATGTATGAAGATCGCTAGATAGATACCCTGAGGCCTCAAGCAACAAGGCTTGGTACGTACCTTAGTACGCACCAAACCTCTTTGGCATAAGAAGGCTTTGAAGCCCGGCCTGGATGGAAAGGCTTCAGAGGATTCAAGAAGGCCTTCGGGACCAAAGTAGTTTATCAGCGGAATTGAACTACTGTTCCAAGCCCAAAACACTGCCCTTGTCACACCGGGCAAGGTTCAAGGGGAAGTGGCCATCATGGTGGCGGAGGGGGTTACGGAGGAGGATATGGTGGTGGATATGGAGGTGGTGGAGGATACGGAGGAGGTCATGGTGGTAGGGAGGAGCATCGGAGGTATTAAGCTTGGTTGGGTGGGAGTGGAAAGGGGATGATGCCATAAATTTTGGATATGTGAATAACGAATGAACGGAGGTCACGAGTTTCGATGAGTATATGTGACAAGGGCAGGTTTCTGAGCTTGGAACAAATGGTTCAATTCCGCTGATAAACTACTTTAGTCTCGAAGGCCTTGTTGGTCCTTTCAACCTCTAGAGGAAGGCTGGGCTTCAAGGCCTTCTTATGCCAAAAGGAAAACGGTACCTATCTAGTACATACGGGTCCTTGTCACCTGAGGTTCCAAGGCATCTAGTGATCTGCATACATGTAGGTCTTTCTCGTATGACACCAGGAGTGTGGCATATGTCCGTTTGACACCAGGAGTGTGGCATATGCCCGTTTGACACCAGGAGTGTGGCATATGCCCGTTTGACACCAGGAGTGTGGCATATGCTCGTATGCCACCAAGAGTGTAGCATATGCCCGTATGCCACCAGGAGTGTAGCATATGCCCATATGCCACCAGGGGAGTGTGGCATATGCCCGTATGCCACCAGGAGTGTAGCATATGCCCGTATGCCACCAGGAGTGTAGCATATGTCCGTGTGACAGTATACTTGATTCGCGGTGAGGCTGGTGCTCTCTTTTCCCTTTCTTTATCTTGGTATGATACCATTCCCTTGAGTTAAATAGTTTTATGTTACTCAGCTATGCAAATATGATCAGGCCCGACATCAATTGTACACATAACGAAACTGTCTATTGACCCATATTTCCCGTCGTGACCTATCCGTGAGGAGATGGAATTTTGCGGTCACTAGAACTAGGGTTAATGTGTTCTTACCCCTAGGGGTTACCATAGAGGTGTACGCCGACTGTCAATCCTAGAGGTAGACGCAGATGGATGATACTAAACGCCGTACCTATGTCTTCTCGTTAGCCTTGCTGACTCGACAGCCTGACACTCAAATGATCCCAGTTGAAGTGACAATTTGTGTTCGTGGATAGGTTTTGGAAGGGAAAGTGAAGAAGATCATTAACAGCAGCAGAAAGATACCCGACCCGGGCTCGCCAGGAAATATGTATGAGTTTCATAATGGGATCAACGGCGTATAATCCATCCAGCGCTCAGCGCTTGAGCCGTGGAGGGCCAGGGTTAGGCGGGGCAGGTTGAAGGCCAAACATCAAGTGTAGCACCAGCGCTTAAGAAAGCAATATCATTGGCTTTGCCCCCTGTAAACGCGAAGTTGCATTGCGTGTTCTTTCATTCATTCGAGCTCATCCATTCATATTACCTCCTAGAACTCGGGAACTACTGTTCTGCGTGCACAGCGTTTAACATTCCATATTCAACATGTTGAGTCTTTGAGCTTTCTACCTTTCATGCCCCCTCCTCTCCCTTCGCCTTCTTCAGTTGTCAGTTTAACCATCACTACCTACCTCTACGCTACTAGGAAGACCTACCTCACTCACCTCACTTGTCTAGGTAGATATACCTTGTAGAGGTAGCTAATGGTTCCCAGGCTTTGCTCCGTCTGCGCCATCGTCCCGCACTGGCTTTCTTCCCTTCCTTGGGACGATTTTTTGTATTACGATGAAACGACTATCACGTTGAGGTCTTGGAGGGGGATGTTGGAGCAGGCGGAGGCGGCGGAGGCGGCGGAGGCGACGGAGGCGGCGGAGGCTAGTAGAGCGGCGGCAGCTGGAACGACGGGGACAGCGACAGGAACAGCAGAGAAGAAAAGAAGGAAAAGTGGAAGTGAAAGGAGAACCGGTGTTGAAGAATATGCAGTGGGAAGGAGCGGGGAAGAACTGCAAGGAAAAACAGAAGGAGAAGGAAAATCAGAGGAAGGAGGAGGATGTGACCTCTGCCTGATGATAACCAAAGCCGCGAACCGCCGCCGCAACTACGACAGGCCCTACTACATGCCACCGCCGCCGGCGATGGATCCGCGACATGACGAGCGGTATCTGGATGTGCCGCTGGTTTTTGGGAGGGAAGGGGAAAAAGTGATTGGGATGGACGTAAAGGGAAGGGATGACTACTGGGAGTATAAGATTGTTTGTTTGAGCAATCGGGAGCTTTTCGCGGTGAAGGTGGTGAGTGTGCCGGGGAGTTGGTGTAAGTTTTTATTCTCCTTTTTCTGTTGTTTGAGTTTTGGACGTGTACACTGGTTGTCTGTTTTCCCCGAGATTTTGGGGGGACTTTGGCGAAAGACATTCATGCTTACAAGTACCTTACCTACTATTATGACGATTGGTAGGCCCAAAGTTTCAGCCGCCTATGCGATATGGCGATCAGAATCCAGAGAATAACATCTTGTTGATGAAAGATTGGTTGGACAACTGTCGCCGGAACCATACAAAATGCTGCGAGATCAAGAAGACCATGGGGACGACAGGCACTAATTTCTTGCCAAGTAGACTGCTCGATGTTCAAGCTTTCCAAATGGATAGCAAATCATCCTACCTCGGCGAAGATGTCAGGCTCGTGTCTTCGAGTCCACCGATGGGCCAAGAATTGGATATGGACAAGTTCCCACCGCCCTACTTCACACTCAGTCACTGTTGGGGACCGCCGGAAAAGCGTCCAGCGACGACAATCAAGGCCAACCTAGCCCAGCGGATGCAAAGGATTCCCTTCCTCGAGCTGCCCAGGACCTTTCAAGATGCGATCGAAATAACCCGCAAATTAGGCTACCGATACCTCTGGATTGACTCGCTCTGCATCGTTCAAGATGACGAGCAAGACTGGGCACACGAAGCTGGTTTGATGGCCAAGGTATACTCCCACTCCTCCTGCACACTATCTGCGCTGAGCTCCAAGGACAGTAGCGAGGGTTTGCACTTGGAGCCGCTAAGCGAGGGCCGTTCCTATATGGATCTTATGACACCCTCACATGCCTATCCCGCTGGTGATGGTGATAGCGATAGTGGTAGCGTAAAAAGCTACATGGACGACCCCTTTCCTTTCCGGTTCCGACTCTTCTACTCCTTGGATAACTGGCAAATGCTCTACAACGGCAAAGCCCTAGACGGGCTCTGCGACGACATCTCTCCCCTGCGTTCGCGCGCCTGGACGCTCCAGGAACGCGAGCTCTCGCGGAGGATTATCCATTATGCCAAAAACCAAGTGCTGTGGGAGTGCGCGGAGCTAAAGGCAATGGCGCAGCGGCCGTGGCATAACTGTGCTTATCGTGGGTTGGATCCGGAACAGGAGTGGGAGGAGTGGGAGGAGATAACGAAGAGCCAACAAAGCACAAACCTTCTTCAAGATTGTGATGGCAATCTCCAAGTTACTCCCGCTGCCGTTACTGCTTCTTCCTTGCTGTCGGCCTACCAAAGTGAGCGCGAGTGGTGGAAAATGGTGTTGGATTACAGCCAGCGGGTATTGTCCCAAGACACGGACAAACTGACTGCCTTGTCCGGGATGGCGCAGTTCTATCAGCGGAACCACTTCCCTCAGGCGCGATACGTGGCTGGAATGTGGAGCTCACGGCTGGAGGACGAGTTGTTCTGGTACGTCCAAGACAAAGTCGACGCGAGAAGACCGACAGCAGGTTATGTCGCGCCCAGCTGGTCGTGGGCATCAGTCAATGGGCGTGTGAATTTTGGCCCGATGGATCCTGTTAGGCGGTTTAAGTCCATGAGGAAGAAGATGCCAGCTGTGGCAGCCGAGACGGTTCCAACCAATGCCGAGGTTGAAGACCGAGATGTCAAGGCCAAAGAAAAGGACAAAGACAAAGACAGAGAGAGAGAAGGAGAGAGAGATACGCAAAAAGTCATATGCGAAGAATGGAAAATCGAGGAGATCAACCTATCCCCCAAGTACGACGACCCGTATGGTGCGTTGAAAGGCGCGAATCTGATCATAGGCGGTGCCCGTCTCGTCAAGGTCGACCTATTTACCGAAACCATGATTGAGCCTGCCCCTGAGTACATTGGGGGGGTTCATCGTTATTACGGCGGCTTGAAGATAGACGGCCGTTGGGTGGCTGATCACAGACTTGACATTCCGGGGGAGGCAGATCAAGACGGTTGCAGACTGGTGTGTCTGGGTATGTTGGCAGAAAGAGTCTTCGGAGAGAGGCCAACAATAGGGGGCCTTCTTCTCAGGGAGGAGAAGCTTGATGTCGATGGCGGTTTTTATGTCTATAGCCGGGTGGGAAGGTTCCAGGGCATGGCGGTGGCATTGTTCGATGGTGTTGAGTCACGGCGGATCAAACTGATATGAGCGAGTGGTAGGAGGAACCTCAAGGATGAAGATTCGACGAGTCAGTCCAGAACCTGGCGGAAGATACCAAATAGTAAAAAGAGATCAGCCTTTATGGTTTGGTTGGCGCGACAATCGTCATGTACAAAGAACTGTTCCAGATGAGAAGGAATGGGGAAGAGACGTGCACATTGGTCAATCTGGCAGATGTGCCCCATTTCTTTCTGTTTTCCTTGATGACCTCGAGGGGACGGGAGTCGAATATGAGTTGAGATCAGGCAAGATCGACACATGCCAGAAAACTCAGGAAGGGGGGACCAGCTTGGGTGGGAATTGATGCTTAGGCAGAGCGAATCGCTAACCGCCACTGCCTCGGGATCTGGACCACTCAAATGAAACCACAGCACTACTTGCCGGGACGCAGGGTGGTGACTATGGTAACCTTTCCACTTCCAACATGAGAGAACTGGCACACATTTTCCGTCCGTTCTTTCTCAACCAAGCCACCCATCAATGAAGCATTCTTCCATCATCAAGTTCCCCTCCTCTCAAACTTCTACGACCAAAACTTCAGTTCTCATTTTATGACTCTCTTATATCGTCTTCCATCAGCCCACAAATTGCAGTCCAAAAGTTCCATAACCAACTGCCGCCGCGGTTCTTCACCCCTCAAAGCGACTTTCTCCGAGTTTCGATACTGAACCGTTTCGATATCTTCCCATACCGCAACGAAATCTTCAGTTAGCCCATGATTCGAAAAGGCCGCGCTCTTTGCTCCAGAACAACTGCCTGGTTTTGGAGACATTATGGTGGCCGTTTTGCCAATACCTTTACCCAGGGAGGCTTCCCTTGAAGACGGGCCTCCTGGTGAAAACCCCCTTCAGAGCATTTCTGCCAGCACTGCTTCCCATCAGGACGACTCATCCAGAGCTACTTCCCCGGACAATACCTCAGCCAGTGAAAATGGTTCTCTCAGCGGAGATTCTCTTGGGGATGTGCCCCCCAGACCGACGTCCCCTACGGTTGAATCGTCGGGAACCCTCAACGCTGAGACCAGTTTCATTTCTTCGAACTCCGAAATGGCAACAAAACTCTGCGGTGTTTGTACTAGTATCCCGGCATGATTCTAGACGCAGAAAAGTGAGGGAAACAACGAGATTTCTGTCGAGCTACAGCCGTTCAAGCAGATGCGAAAGAGAGCACGAAGAGGTTGTGGCCTATGCCAAGTCCTTTGCAGAGCTCGAAGATTTCGGCAACCGGTTGACAAGTTGGGAGCATGCAGACTGGTAATGCGTAATACCCCGCACATAGACGGCTGTAAGACCATGTTTTACAGATTCGGAGAAGTTGATTTAGGGTACATTAACATGCTTCCGATCCCAGCTTCATGGAGTAAGTCGCTGCCTTTGGGCTATGATGTGCACGTTCAGCGGAATTGTTGCCCTATTGACACTCATTTCTCTGCATTCAGACCCTCGTTCCCTTTCCAACTCAGACGAGAACTCAAATATCTTGCTCATACAAGACTGGATTGACGACTGCCGACTCAATCATACAAGCTGCAACAACGTCACCAGGAAGTTCCTACCCACAAGATTGCTGGATCTCGAGGTGTTCGATGAAAGAAGATTTCGCGGATTTGAAGACGATATCAAACTAGTCTGCTCACACCAATTTCAAGGGGTTGGATCAGTCCCACATTACATCACTTTGAGTCACTGCTGGGGACCGCCAGAGAAACGCCCAGTTACCACAACACTCGCTAACCGCGCTCTTAGGATGGAGATAATCGCCTTCTCTGATCTTCCTAGGACATTTCAAGACGCAATTATCTTAACGAGAAAGTTAGGACAGCAATATCTGTGGATTGACTCTCTGTGCATCATCCAAGATGACGAAGAAGATTGGGCAAACGAAGCGTCAATGATGTCGGAAGTGCATAAGCACTCTTGGTGCACGCTTGCAGCTCTCAGCTCCGCGGATAGCACAGAGGGATTGAGATTGTCTGGCAAGCATGACGCGAAGGACCAATTCATCATGGATCTCGCCGTGAATGATGGCCATAACGGGTTGTTCAACGTCCGCCTTTCTGATGGAGGGCCGGAAAGCTGGCAACGAGAATACGATGGCTTTGTTAATAGTTCATACGACACAGAGCATTGCATGAATCTGAGTCCGCTCCGATACCGTGCATGGGGGCTTCAGGAAAAAGACCTTTCAACTAGAAGCGTTCACTTCGGCTGTCGCCAGTTGCTCTGGCAGTGTTGCGAGCTCAAGGGAGCTTCTCATTCGCCTTGGCGTACTATTAGAGCTATAAGGACCGCCTTGACAGTGACGCGGAGCGCGAATGGGCGGAATCTCAGCCGGGAAACTCTGCCATATACTACAGGATGAAGTTCTGTTGGCTCAAATTATCTGAGGAGTATTCCGATCGCTCCTTGACAAACGAGACCGACAAGCTACCCGCTCTATCCGGCATTGCACAATCGTTTCAAAAACACTTTCCCAATGATGAATACATTCCAGGAATATGGAGTTCCCATCTGCCACTTGCATTACTCTGGCAGCCATCTTATAATGGGATAGGACGGCGCACCACAGAATACATCGCACCTAGTTGGTCCTGGGCTCCCAGCCATGCCAAATAAGATATCACATCCTCCAGTTTCGCGACCTTTTTCTCAAGATGGTCAGCAAGACGCCAGACCCAGCAGAAAAGTGGTTCGACGAACTGGCGGCTGTACACCTAGAGAAACAGCCTAAGCACAACGATGACTATGGTGCTCTCAAAGAAGGCGCATGGTGGTGTTACAGGTCTTATTCTCAGGGAACATAGCCGGGATGGAAAACTAGTGTACAGTCGGGTAGGATTTGCGGGTGGGCTGAGATTGTCATCATGGAATGGTTCGGAGCGGCGTCAAATTACCCTCATCTGAAGAGGATTGTCGAACATATCACACCAGTCTACCAGGTCGAGGCTGGACATTCTCCTTCGTCAGTATATCAGAGTCATTCTACTTTCTCTTCCCCCAAGACCACAAGTTCGGTGTCAACCATTCAAGAAAATGAAGCCCGAGTGAAGCCAATGCCCGTCAGCCAAAAAAAAGAAAGAAGAAAAAAAAGAGAAAAAAGAAACAACAAACACAGATCTCCCCGCCACACCCTCAATACCCCAACGAGCAACAACCACACATAACCAATGAAACAAAGTGCACCCGGAAACAAACTACATCCAAGGACCAGGAAATCTCATCACCAACTCCCCTCAAAAGAACAAGAACTCCTAAAAGTGCGCCTAACCTGAATCTACGCTCTCACCTAAGTCCCAATGACTTTGTCACAACCTACGCCACAACCTTTGCCACAACCCTTGACACAACCCTTGACACAACCATTGCCACAACCTTTGACACAACCTTTGACACAACCCACCATCCTCAAGCCTGGGAATTTACATACATATTTAACAGACAAGAGAGACGGGCACCTACCTACTAGAACCAATATTTCACGCGGGAAGATTGAAATTGCATTAATCAGACACTGTCACAGAAAGCGAAAAAAAAAGGGCAAGGTCATTCTTATGTTATGGTCCCATATGTTTGGGGAAGTGTTTTATGAGTAAAAAAACTTGCTCGTATCGTGCTTGTAGACAGAGAGGTTGCAATAAGGTTGTCTACATCCCATCCATTCATTTATTCTTCTTCCTGTTTCGTGTTCCATAGCACCTTTTCTCCTTTTTTTGGGCGTGTCTGTCCGAAGGTAAAGTAAAAGTACCACTTACATTTAACCACATTCTAATCCACCTCACCCTTCTGTTTGCTAATCTCTTTCCCTTTCCCTCTTCTTTCCTGTCCTTCCCACCCATTCCCTCTAGCCCTCATTCCCTTCCGCATTCCCCTTCATCCCCATCCCCCCCTCCCTATCAATCTAAACCCCATTGTCAAAAGAAACTCACCCCCAAAGAGGCGCAACAACCTCCACCGCCCGCTCCACCACAGCCCTCACCCTCTCCCTAAAGATCTTATTCGCGCTCTCCACCTCCAAATTCTCCAACCACACCTTCGCCTCCATCTTCTCATCCAACTTGATCTGCACTCCGGGCACGGGAATACCCATTTTATGCAGGCGTTGCAACTCCTTCTCCTTGCGCGCGTTGAGTTCTTTTTCGGCTTTGGTCTCGGTTTCGGTTTCGGCTTCGTCTTCCGAGACATCCATTGAGGCGTCTGCGTCTGATTTGGGCGACGATTTAGCAGATGCGGTGATTGCCTTCTGATTTTGATCTTGTTCGGATGGTGTTGGGAGCTTGGGATCGGCGATGGGGGAGACGTGGTCGGCGCCGAATTGGGCTTCGAGGAACATGAGGAGACGGTCGAGACGGTCGGTGGGGGAGAGGTGGGCGTGAGGGTTTTTGGGGGGGAGGGAGTGGGAGTGGGGGTTTTTGGAGGCCGAGCCTGTGAGAGAAGTGTTGGTTAGTATATGGGCACAGTAATAAAAGAGGAGGGGGAAAGGGGACATACGCTTCACAGCAGCAGGACTACTCTCAATACCCAGCAACACAGCCATCACAGAGTCAGCAATGCCATCATTAAGCATATTGCCCTCCCACTCCAGCTCCACCTCGCCGCTAGCACGGTAACGAACAGTAATGCAGCCCATGACGAGGTAAGCAGCCACTACATCATCACCGTGAGGCAGCTCCTCATCAGCTTCCTCCATCTTGGTATCGCCGCCGTTTTCGCTCTTAACGTTAACGAGCTCGCGCTTCGCCTTGACTTCGTTGGGAAGTTCTTCAATACCGCCGAAAGTGCTTTCGAGACCCCACTTAATCAGATCGATGCCCGCGGCACTCAAGCGTAGACGCTGCTTGCAGGCAATAGTGGTGGTTGTCAGACCGGCGTATTCTTTCAGATCCTCGGGAGCCATCAGGGACATCTTGAAGTCGTTCTGGACCAAAACACCGGTGATGAGTTGAGGTTCGGAGGAAGGGAGCGGACCATCATGGCTGTTCTTCGCCTCTTTAAGTGCCGGTGGGATGGCCGCCAACTTGCCCACCACTTTGGCGACTTTGTCTGTCTTGAAAGGGATGCGCAGCTCCTCACAGTTCTTGGGACTGAACACCTTGACTTTGTGTTCCTTGTTTGCGTTGAGCGAAAGAAGCTTAGATTTCAGGCGCATCATGTTATGCACTTCGCCGTGAACAAGAATGACGACGGGGGCGGCGACTTCCTCAATGAACTCCCTGTTTTCGACACCGTCAACGTGAGCGGCGAAGGAGAATTCTTGGACAGTGCAGCGGCGCGGGATCATGACCTTCTCGGCATCACCACCACCACCTGGGCCACGACGGGCGCCGGCAATGTTGCGCGACATGACGGCCTGGATCGTGTCCGGCTCTTGCATGATATGCTTGGCCATGGTCCCCTCGACCGAGTAACCGGTGATGATGACGCCGTTCTTCTCGCTCGGCGCCCACCGCTCCAGCAGCTCGCGGCTGACGCCGTTTTGAAGCATACCAGGGGAGGCGAGCATGACGCAGCCGCCGACATCCTCAAAGCGGTCGATGCTCTTGAGCGAGCGGATGAATTTGAAGTCCCACGGTCCGCCCTTGCCGGCGCCGTCGCCGGAGGACTCGGACTCGGCTAGACGCTCGCGGAACAGACGCTTGATGTTATCGTTCATGGAGCCGACGTAGGTCTGGTATACCAGCATACACTTGCGGGCCAGGTTGGAGGCGTAGTAGATGGGGTATTTCTGGAATTCGGCGTGCTTGCCCCAGTATTCGTCGAGGATGAGGAGGAGCTCCTGGGCGCGACCGAGGGCGAAGACGGGCATGAGGACGCGGCCGCCGCGGTTGAGAATGCCGGTGATGGACTTCATGAGAGCCTGTTCACGCTCTACGCGCGGGATGTGCGAGGCGATGCCGTAGGTGGACTCGGTAATGAGGACGTCGATCTTGACGCCCTTGGGTACTTCGGCAGAGATAAGATGTCTGTCTTCTTCGCGGGAGTAGTCGCCGGTGAAGAAGATCTTGAGACCGGCGATTTCGATCAGGAACATGGCGGCGCCAAGGACGTGGCCGGCTGGGTATGGTGTGATGCGGATCGAGGAGATGGTGTGGGTAGTGTTGTAGTCGATGGCCTCGATCATTGGAAAGGTCTTGAGATGGTCCTCCTCGGTGTAGACGAGCGATGATGTTGGGTTTGACGATGTGTTGCCGACACGGACACTGTCTTGGATAAGCCATTTGTAGATGGCCTTGGTGGCATGTGTCATGAAGACACGGCCTCGGAAGTTGGTCTTGGCCAAGACATATGGTAATGAGGCGGCATGGTCGATATGGAAACTAGAAAGTGAGTGGTCAGTCTCGGGCGAGGTCTGGACGATGTAGGCGACTATGGACAAGGACAGTGCTTCACAGAGATCATGCAGCGCAAGTGGCAGACAAGATGGGAGGGGAAAAGGAGGAGAGGAGCGGGCGATGGTGACAGATTCTTTGTATTTTGATTTCCTGAGTACATGTATATGACGGACAGTACAATGTCGCAAAAGTGGACAAGAACCACATAGATCAGAGAGCAAGGTGACATGGCTCTCACTGGCGATGTCGAATATCCAGAGCCCGGCTCGATCATCAACCCATCTTGTCCCAAGCCAAACACTGCGGCACTGTCTCTCGTGGATAGACGCACATACATATGGATGTATGTCATGGCAGAAGGGGGAAAGGGGTGGGACTTACTGGCTGATTAAAAGAACATCCACTGTGCTGAGATCAAAGTCATCAAAGAATGGCAGGGCTGCTAGGCCATCATATGCTGGATGTTGACCAGCATCAAGCTACAACCCAGATGGATAGGTCAGCCCGTGTTCACTGGAAGGGGTGGTTGGTTGGTTGGTTTTGCGCACCATGACAGTTTTCCCCTTGTACTGAATGATGTGACATGATCGGCCAACTTCGTTGCCGCCTCCAAGATTGAGGAACATGAGCTCATCGGCTGGGTCGACGGGCTCCTCTGGCTCGGTCGCCATGGCCGACGCCTTCCGCTTGGAGGCCATGGTTTGCGAGCTTTGTTGTGGATAGCACTCCTTTGCTTCGTTTGTTCCACGCGTGCACTCTGTCTTTCTGACCGTCGCCCTGTATACTTACGATGTCCCAAGCAGATTATCGTGATTGTTTGAATGGCGGCGCGTGGTGAGTTTGATGTGATCAGGACGCGACTTTTGTAAGTCAGTAGAAATTCGGCGTGGATGATAAAAGCTAGACGGGATTCAAAGTGCTCTGGATGCGCGGCGTGAATTTGAATGGCGCTTTGATGTGGTGTTGCTGATGGTTGTTGAAAGTGCAGTGATTTGGATGAAGATGGCAAGTGGAAGTGGTTGTTGAATGAAGTGAGGTTCAAGTTGGCGGCTGATTTGCCTGCCGGAAGCCTTCAATCCCACGGCAGCCGCAAAACGTCAAGGGCCAGAAGCCCCATTTAAAATGGCCAAGCTCACACGTGACTGGCCCATTCACTCACCAATGACCAAACGCGACCTTCAGTGGAGCTCGTGCCGCTGCCAGCAACAAGCAACCGGCAGCGGCAGCAACTGGTCGATTCCGTTCGTTGGAGGTTCTGGAGCGTGTGCGAGTCCCTCTTTGGATTTTATTGTTCGTCATTGTTAAAGACACCTCGACTTTCCCCCAGTCACCCACCCAACAGTACGATTCACCACCCACCTTCAACGGTCGCCTCCACCCCGCGCGAATTAATAGCGACAATCAACTTCCGACCGCGACGATTAAACCACGAGCGAGCACTACATCGACCGACGCATGGGAGGAGAAAGACGGCGTAGCTAGAGTGGCAGCGCAGGTTCGCCTGCTTCCACTAAGAGTTTACGGTGACAGGCAGGAGGACACTGGGACGCGACACTAGGAGCAATTGATCGGTTGGAAGCTCAGCCTTGCCCTGAGCTCGAGGACAAGGAATAGCTGCTCGACAGCTTTCCACGGACGTCGACGACCTTGGCCCACGCCATCGACCCTTTCTTTGCACACGTCGACCTGTTTGCGCCTGCGCCATTCTGTCCACCCAAAGGGCACCTCCGCCATGGCTCAACCACCGCAACAGCCTCAGATGCCTCAGTTGCAACAACAACAACCTCAGTTGCAACAACAGCAGCCCCAGCTGCAACAACAGCAGCCTCCGTTGCAACAACAGCAGCCTCCGTTGCAACAACAGCAGCCTCCGTTGCAACAACAGCAGCCCCAGCTGCAACACAGCAGCCTCCGTTGCAACAACAGCAACCACCACAGGTCACGCCGCAGTTGCAACAGTTCCAGCTCCAGCAACAACAGCAACAACA